ATACAATAAAGTGGTCCATTATGAAGAAAGTCAAAGCATACAAACTATAGGATCTAAACGGTGTAATTTATGCCTCGAGGAGAAACTACTTATTACGAAAGCGAAGAAAACTGAAAGCCTGAACAAACGCTCTGACTTGTTTTCCAAATGTAGACATGCAACCAGATACCTGCTTAATCAAGTTGTAAAATGATAACCTATATTTATTATGAATATTGAATAATATCTGTCAGTTGCCTGATGATCGCGTAAAGCGTGAAACTCAGAGTAGGGACGCAAACATTCAAACCTTGACTGAATTATATATATATATATATATATATATATATATATATATATATATATATATATATATATATATATATATATATATATATATATATATATATATATATATATATATATATATATATATATATATATATATATATATATATATATGTATATATATATATATATATATATTTCACGTTTTAGCTACTTTGCATCATAATCAAATTTCGTCGATATATTTCACATATCGAAACATATTCAACGATCGAGGTGGCCATTATTCTTTGAATAACAGTTGCCTGAAGATTGCGAAATTGCATGAAACTCTGAGTAGCAACATGTACAATTTTTAAGATTAAATAAATATTGCTCTACAAATTTTTGTGTTGAGCACTCTTCAATCTACTACAATAACAAAACTTTGTTATATATATATATATATATATATATATATATATATATATATATATATATATATATATATATATATATATATATATATATATATATATATATATATATATATATATATATATATATATATATATATATATATATATTATATATATATATATATATATATATATATATATATATATATATATAATATCATTTTAGTCAATTTACTCGATTCTGATTGGTTAATCGCACAGGTGTGCCGATTAAAGATTAATCGGCACGGATACGAGCCCGCGTGGATCATGCGTGCATTAAAAACAAAATGTCAACTTGAAAATAAACAACTTTAGTTGAAAATGTACGTTTCTGAGCTCTTCTTTTACAATGAGCTCTTAATATTTATGCTTTCATAACAAAGAAAAAGAAGAAATAAAGGTTATTCACAGTTTTTACAGGTATGAATTGAAAATTAATGTCCGGAAAGTGTTCTCAAAATTGACAACATGCAGAGACGCCGTATGACTGTGCTCGCTTGAATACTGAAATACAATGTTTAATTCTGATCATTGATTGCTCGTGTAAAATTGACTATAAAATGATATTAATAGGAAATTACACTTGTTCTCGAAGTATTAATGAAAAATCACACTTGTGTTTGGCGAAATATTTATAATACCGCTCGTGCTACGCACTCGCGGTATTATAAATATTTCGCCAAACACGCGTGCGATTTTTCATTAATAATACTTCTCGAACCGTGCAATTTCCTATACAAATTGTGTTTTAAATATGCATCCCATTTTGTGCGCAACCCATGCATGCGTTTTAATGCGCTTTTTGAAAATAGTCCTGAGATTGGAGATTCGATTCTAAGAATAATTTTAGTGTAAGTTATAGGACTAGGAATTAATAGACCCTAAAATACTCATATTATTCACTAAAAAAGTTTACAAATTTGAAACATCAGTTTGTGTCCATTTTAAAATTATCTACATTTCTTTTTGTTGATGCATACAGTGATAAGACAACCCTTCCCTCCTATACTAAACTCATTTCAATTTTGTTTTTCTTGGATTGATTATTATTTTAATATATTATGCTGATACATTGCTAAATATCTGCCGGATAGAATCTGAAAACATGCATAATGCTGGATTTTAATAATTATCGAAATATTTTGAACATGTTATTGCAATATAGGAGCAACATATATGACAAACTTGGTTTTTGACACCATATTTTAACCTAGGAAGACAGAAATTCCATAAATTTATTAACGTTGGTTTTTAAATGGAGTCAAATCATCTGCTAAAAATTATTTTCTGTCCAGTTTAACGTAGTTCTAACAACTGAGCTATTGGGATCGCCCGATTGAGACATGCACTCAGAATTAATGGGATATCCAATCCACAAATACGATGACTTATGCATGTTGGTCTGGTCATGCATGTATTTATTCCTTCATATACCTATTCAGTGTATAACCTATTGCATGAAAAATTCCCATACATGCATATTTAAATTCCTTTCTTCATTTTTTGGTAACAAATTCAATTTTTGCCAAAATCTGCAAGTAACCGTCTCAAGGTTCTGTTCGCTTATGGCGTTGAACTATCAGTTCGTTACATTTATTGGCTTGAAATATTTGTTGTCGACGAGAAAGGTCTTAATTAACTTACCTTTTATGGCTTATATTTATAGAGATAAACTCTGATTACTCGTCCGGGGATGTGTACACAAAACAAGGCAACCGTGCAGTGCTCGTGTGCACACTTCACCAAAGAGTCCAATGGAAAAAGGATGGAAAAGTTATTAGCAATAGCAAGAAGATACAGATGTTTCAAAACGTGCTTGTAATAGATCCCATAGACGACGAAGATTATGGACAGTATTTTTGCGAGCTACGGAATTACAAAGGGAAAGGAATAAATATGAGCTTAATAAAGATAAATGAGAGTGGAAGTGAAAACGGAGAAGGTGACTCTACTAATTTACTAATTCCATTTATAATAGTCTTGCTGGCAATTCCTTTGGTCGTGATAATTTACCTGTTGTTAAGAAGAAGACCTAAATCAACTACTACTATTGAACGCGAGTCAGCTCCAAGCGACCATGGTAAAGCTAATAACGCGATGTCTACGCCGCGCGAAATGCCACCTTCCAGAGAAACAGAAGAAGGAAATTACACCCCGTTAGATGATTGTAGAGGAAAGGAACCAGTTTACCAAGGACTTGAGCAAAATAACGAACATGTTAAGCTGTAGCAACTTAACTTATAACGAACGGCAATAATGGCAACATTTCATTTGCTATAAACGTAGCTATACATTTATGTTACTTTCACTGCATGGTATATATAGCCATGCATGCATGCTCGCACATTTTAATATTGCCCGCGTGCAGGCCCACCGAGGGAAGAATAGTGGGCCTGCAAGGAAGACCGGGTATTTTGTATTTGTCGCGTTCGCACACAAACGCAGCATTCTGATTGGCTGATGTTGGTTGATGTTTTAGTTGATGTTTTAGTTGATGTTGACTCTGCTCTTGCACTGAAGAAAACAGCGCTTTTCGCGGTAAAGATTTAGAGGCAGTTGCATGTAAGACAACAAGGGGGAATTTCGTACTCGGCCAGGACAATCAGCGCATTTGTTGACAATTTCGCTCTAAGCCAATCAGAATGCGTCATTGGTTACTGTAGGTAGTTTCCCTGCGAGCACAGAAAGCCCACTTCTGGTAAAAACATACATTTGAACAGAGAATTTAGGGTCTTAAATAAATCTTCGAGGGGGTCAGGATTTTTACGTGACAAGGTAAAATAAGAAATTTTCAAAATTTGCCGCTGGGATTTACGTTTTATATATTGTCTAGTTCTACAATTATCGGCATTCGAACTTTCGCTCTTTTTACACGCCGCTGTTCGAATGCCGATAACTTTAAAACTAGACAATAAAACGCAAATCCCAGCAGCTTTTAGAAAATGTCTTATTTTACCTTGTCACGTTAAATCTAATCAATAAAATTAAAAATCCAGACCCCCCCGAAGCTTTATTTAAGACCCTAAATTTTCTGTTCAAATGTATGTTTTTACCGGAAGTAGTAACCAATTACTCATTCTGATTGGCTAAGAGAAAATGTCAACAAATGCATTGATTGGTCGAAATTCCCCCTTGTTATGTAAGCCTATTCGAAACATGCACTTTGCAAATTGCAGGGCTTCTCTGAGACGGTAATTGCCGTTTGAAACGATCTGAACTCGGAACGCTCTCTTCTTTTGTCGACTTCTTTACCAATTTGAAATTAAATAACTGAAATGAAATTCCGTACTTTCCGCCCACAAGAATTGCACACACGATCTGATAAGTGAGACAATTTATTTATAACAATGGCGATAGATGCACAAATTAATGCTAATGGTCTCACGACTTCCCTCACGATTTGAAGTTTGAGACAGGCCTGTTTCGAATTTAGTTGAAAATGAGCTTATGAACACTTGCAAATTTGACAATTACTTGAAGCTGATTGGTTTGCATGCTTTTTCGGAGTTAAACGCAGCCATTTACACACTGTTTCTATTCTGAATACACAGACGGAAAATCCCGCAACATTTTAATGCGACTTTGCTTACTCTTTGGGTTGCTGCATGTCATTGGTTCTTTTTTTGACAATTGACGCGCGAATGGGGCGTGTTATGAAAAGGGCCGTTTTGCAAAACACCTGGTCTTCCTTGCAGGTCCAGTATTCTTCCTCGGTGGGCCTGCACGCGGGCTAATTTTATTAATTAAAACTTATATAAACACTCAATAATTATATACAAGCACTCTTAGACTAGTTTCCATCGAATCCCTTTTCTGCATCACAATTATATTACGTCAAAAACATGCAATTAAAAACTTATAATTGTAGTAAACACTTTTGTAGCAAATTTTGTTTATTTTGTTTGACGAATTTTGCAACCTTATGGAGCAGCTAATAATTCTACCAGGCAATTTGTTAATAGCCGGTGACTTCAATTACCATGTGGACAACAGTACTAACCCGGATACCATAAAATTCAATAAAATATTGGAATCGTTCAGTCTGCAACAACGCGTGAATGGGACAACTCACAAGAAGGGTCACACCCTAGATTTGATAATAACAAGGATTGGCGATCGACTGGCGACTAACATTGAAATACATGCACGACCCCATGTTTTCAGAGATGTAAGCTGTACCGCCTGTACGTTACAGCTTGAGAAACCACGACTGGAACGTGCAGAAATCCAGTATCGCAAGCTGCGGAATATATAAACATGGATAGTTTTAATGAAGACCTAAGAAAGTCGAACTTCAGTAGTGACAGTGACTCAGCGGTGAGCTACCAACTATAATCGATCAGTACGAAAAGACGTCTTTGGAAGAAACTTTACAGAAACATGTGCCTTTAAAACGAAGAATTATTTCTCTCCGGCCATCAGCACCATGGTATAACGAGGAAATTGGTAAAGCCAACGGCGTAGAAGACTCGAGCGTCGTTGGCGAGCATCTAGACTGTGTATTGACAAAGAGATCTATATTAAACAATGTTAGATAGTGAATGATAGCCTATGATCAAGGAAGCGAAGACATGCAGCATATTACTCCTCAGCCATTTCTAATAATAAATATAAACAGAAAGTATTGTTTAATACAGTTGACAAACTACTCCACAGAAAACCAGAGAAATGTTATCCAACTACATCATCAATTAAAACTGAGCTAGTTAACAATTTTGGAGACTTCTTTAGTAACAAGATAGCGTTTTACGTAATGAGTTGGCCAATATATCCATCTATGACAATCAGTTGAGCCCAGCGGAACTGTCGACACAATGCGTTGAGTTTAGAATCTTTCAAACGGTGACGGAGCAAGAAGTCGAAAATATTGTTGACGCAAATGGCAAAAAATCCTGTGCACTCGACCCTATACCTGCAACAATTCTTAAAGGCTGCAAAAAGACTCTACTACCTACGTTTACTAACATCATTAACAAGTCACTCGAAACTGGAAGCATGCCTGTACAACTCAAAGAGGCTATGTTAAAACCTAAGCTGTAGAAAAGCAATTTGGAGTTCGAAGAATACTCAAACTTCAGACCAATTTCAAATCTTAAGTTTCTATCTAAGATAATCGAGAAAGCTGTTGGTACTCAACTCATGCATGGAACATTTAGTCAATAATAACTTAGAAGAACCTATTTTGTGTGTGTTGGTGTTATGTACTCAGGTGAATATATGATGCTTGTGGTGTTACTCTGAGTGTGCATCCACACCAGGGCAAGCTGAAAAGTTAGCATGGCCATGGTGGGAATCGAACACTGACATTGAAGGAACTAGACTCAGTTCCGAAATATCATCAACTCGAACCGACTTGACCATGCAGCTCAGTTGGCAGAGCATTAGACTAGTATCCCAAAGGTCGCGGGTTCGATTTCCACCATGGCCAAGCTAACTTTTCAGCTTGCCTGGTGTGGATGAACACTCAGAGTAACATCACAAACATCTTAGAAGAAGTTCTCCAATCAGCATATAAACGCTTCCACAGTACTGAAGCGGCCCTGCTTAAAGTGTGACATTCTTATCGCTATTGACAATCAGAAATGTGTAGTTTTGGTGTTGTTGGACATGTTCGCAGCGTTCGACACAGTTGACCATGAAATCCTATTGGAACGAATGTCAAAACGGTTTCGAATTAAAGACAAGGTGCTAGAATGGTTTCAGTCCTACCTTCAAAGCAGGGCACAAACTGTGATGATTGATGGCGTTAAATCTGCTGCTAAAGATCTAAATTGGGGAGTTCCGCAAGGATCAGTTGTAGGCCCTATTTTGTACCTGTTATACACCTCGCCCATTGGAGATATTATTAGACGTCATGAACTTGACTTTCATTTAATTTCATTTCTATGCTGATGATTCGCAACTATATCTTGCTTTTGAGCCAACTACAGATGAACAACCGGGTGCGCTTGTGCGAATGGAAGCGTGCGTTAGAGAGATCGACTCGTGGATGGTTAGTAATAAACTGAAGCTAAATGGAGACAAGACAGAGTTGTTAGTAATAAATGCACGCCATCGCCCATGCCAGCCTATACATTATATATATATATATATATATATATATATATATATATATATATATATATATATATATATATATATATATATATATATATATATATATATAAGCAGTGAGGCAAAATATACCCAAGTCAGATTTTATATACAACATGTATCCATGCTATAGCATTCCGTGGATGAAATATAAAAACGACAGTCACTTTTGGTTTATTACCTCGGGTCGGTACGACACCGAGGTCTTAAATTCGGCTCCTATTTTTTTTTATTGTTTTTTTTGTTTTTCATTTGTGTCGAGCCGCGCGCGTAGTCGAAGATCGAAGGGCCTGCGGAGGAGACGACAACTTCCGGTAAATAAGTGTACTTCCGGCAAACATCGGCCTAAGCGAAACGGAACCCGAAGCTATCCTTGCACAAAATCCGTCAGAATTGTTGATTTAAAACCAGAAGATGTGATAATTTTGACATACATGTTTAGCTGGACAACTATTCTCGAGTATATGTTGATATAATGTACAATACATCGTATGCATAGCATGGGAATACCGCGGCCAACTTTCACTTGTTATCTATTATAATTACTGACCCGAATCAAAAGTAATTATTTTCGGCTGGAAGACTACTGTACGTTGCTGCTTGTCGGGACCGTATGACAATGAACCTATCAAACGTTACACTAGACATTTGTGAGGACATGCATATAGACATAACCATAGGCACTGTAGTGCATTGTGATAGAACAGATTTCAGTTTAATTAATCGCCCTAAATTAAAATCTCCACAAGCGGAGGTCAATTATAGTGTTCTAGTTTACATATTATCATTAATGATTAGGTTTACTCAAATAGCGTATTGGATAAACACGGGAATAGAACTTATGGTGTATTCTGCACATGCGTATATCTAGGATAAAATCCTACAAGCGCAAACGAAACTATTTCTCTATAAAATTGAACTGAAAAGACTCACAGCGACCGTTTCCAACAGTGCTTCAGGCACCCGACGACACCGTATGGGGGGCCTTTAGCACTGTCACCTTCTCATCTTGGGATGTTCACGTTATCGCGTGTACATGTCAGGGTGACGAAGATGCATTATTGCTAATAATGTCTGTGTGCACTGATGCACGCTGCATTATTTTTAATAATGTTGTGTGCTATTTTAACGCGTACATAGAATATGACGCGTATAAACATTTACCCCTGAGCCGGAATTTCCCTATACAGCCAAAAAGGCCGCTCCCGTTTTTCAGTATAACGTTAAATGAAAACTTCTCGACTTTCGCTGATATAATGCAGAGAGAAAACAATAGGTTTGATGAGGGCCAGTAATTATTGTCAATAAAATATTAAAACGGAGCTTTGATTAACTGATTCACCATTTATACTAGTGAACTATTAAACTATCGTGATTTATACAATTTTTGGATATTTACAAGACGATTCCCTATCCACCGACCCGAGGTTAACGCCGAGTCGGCGTCTTGTTACTTCTAAACTGGATAGCAGTAATTCTCTGCTATATGGGTTGCCAAAACTCATGATTGATCGATTACAAAATGTGCAGAACAGTGCAGCGCGTTTGATAGCAAGACGTGGAAAATTTGATCATATCACCCCGGTTATGAAAGAACTGCACTGGCTTCCCGTAAGCCAACGTATCATTTACAAGATACTTCTCATCACCTACAAAGCTCTGAATGGTCTTGCACCAAGCTACATTAGGGATATGCTACAACCGCACAAATCAACAATGAATCTACGTTCATCGATGAAAGGACTACTCTCAGTACCCCCCATAAAGTTGGTCAACTATGGTCAAAGATCATTTTCATATGCAGCACCAAAACTATGGAATGAACTTCCAGATTCAGTACGACATAGTGAATCGATATCTATTTTTAAAACAAAATTGAAGACATATCTATTTAAAAATTTTTATAAGTAATTGACACTAGTTTTACCAATTTTAACTATTGCTAGTTCTATCTATCTAACTGAATTTTTATCTTATCACTTCTTATATTGACTTTTATATAGTAATTGTAAATAAACTTAAATTTTTAAATGAATTGATGTAAATATATTAAAATTTTAAATTTTCTAAATACTGTGAAGCGCCATTGAGCTATAGGAAATGGCGCTATAGAAATACATATTATTATTATTATTATTATTATTATTATTATTATTATTATTATTATTATTATTATTATTAGGCGGATCTTTATTTTAGAGCCGAGCTGCCTATATTCGAGGTTAGCGAATGTTCGGTGAACGATTGTGTTGACAAAATGACGAATTTGGTATATGATTACTTTGTAGAAAATTTCGGTACGGTGAACAAGTGCAAGGATTCCAACTCTGAATATCATACTAAGTATGCTAGTTACTCAAAACAAGAGCTAAAACGAGAACTGAAAGCATTAAAACGCCAGTCACCTGTTGATGTAGAGAATATTCAGTATGTGTCAAGATTACTAAGGAAATTAACTCAGAATAAAGGCCATGATAATGCTAAATCTATTAATCACGAGGAAATCAAGAAAAATTTCTGGGCTTATGCCAAATCGCATTTAGATAGCGCTGACTATCTGATACCAACGTTCGATTTGGCAACTTGCACTAATTACTTTAAAAACATTTGGATGAACGCATGTCCATCTCATGTTTTTTCCCTACCAAATTGGTAACCGAGACTTTCAGCACCTGTACACGAATTTAATTCTACACCTCCAACTTATGCTAAAATTACGGCTATCATCAAAAGAATGAAAACAGGTAGCTCTGCGTGCCCGCTTGATCAGCTCTCAATTATTCCCTTTAAAAAATCTGCATACCTTAGATCTTACTTGACAACAATCATTCAAACGGTATGGAAATCGGGCCAAATTCACACTTGGAGAAGAGCTGACACTTGGAGAAGAGCTGCATCAATTCTTATTCACAAAAAAGAATCAACTGACGATCCTCAAAACTTTAGACCAATTACCCCGCAATCAGTGCCTCTCAAAATTTTTACATGAACAATACGGAATGCCATGTATGAGTTTCTATCAAAAAACAATTATATTGAAAAGAGGATTCAAAAAGGATTTACTCCGGGAATGTCCGGCACGTTTGAACATACGGCCCATTTACCATACTTAATTAGACGAGCGAAAAAACAACAAAGATCTCTAACAATAGCACTACTTGACTTAAGAAATGCATTCGGCGAAGTCCACCATAAGCTGATTCAAACAGTACTAAAATATCATCAAATCCCCGAGCATTTTCAAAATTGTATTGCAAACCTCTATACTGACTTCCGTACCGTAGTGGTTACGGAAAAATATCTAACACCGTTCCTTAAAGTGAGTAAAGGAGTGCTACAAGGAGATTGTTTGAGCCCGTTGTTGTTCAACATGGTAATGAATACGTTTATTCAATACATTAAAACGGATCAGTTTTGTCAACTCGGATTTAATGCTGGGCAGCCGTTTCTAACCCCCAAACATTGGTTTCAATTTGCCGATGACGCGGTGATAACAACAGGTGAGGAGTACGAGACACAAATATTACTGAATGCATTCACCATGTGGTGTAATTGGGCAAAAATGACGCTAAGAGTCGACAAATGCAAGTCATTCGGAATTATCAAAAGGAACTCATTATCCAAGCAGTATTTTCCGAAAATTTACGTTAACCACGGCTTAATTACAGCGGTAAAGGGGAACGAAAGCTTTTGTTATCTCGGTAGATTTTACAACTTCCCGATGGATAACGTAGAACATAAACAGTTCTTGCTGTCTGAGACTAGTAGCATCTTAGAAAAAATCGATCGTCTCCCTCTACACTCAAAATTTAAGCTTGAGTTATATATGAAATATCTGCTCCCGAAAATATCTTGGCATCTCACTATTGCAGACATTGATAGAACATGGATAAAGCAAACTTTAGACACAATGTGCCACAATAAATTTCGGACATGGCTTGAGATACCACCAAACGGCACCCTTGACATATTGCTTCTTGGGAAATCCAAATTCGGTTTCGACATCATTGATGTATCAACAAAATTCACTGAATGTCAAGTAATTTTGCGAAATAAATTAAAAGACTCGAGTTGTCTAGACACCCAAAACCTTTTCTACGCATCTAGCTCAAACTGTAATGTGCAGTACGATGGTTTCTCCACCCCAAAACAGGTTGCCAAAGAAATTAGGAAAGATAAGATCTTTAATATTGAAAGCAAGCTAACGTCGCAGAGTCTTATAATTAAGTCGATTTGGAGAGATGCTTTCCAGGGTACAGCGAAAGATTGGCACTCGGCAGTTGACAAACTCCCTAAAAACATATACAACTTCGTAACTAGATATTTAAATAACACCCTACCTACATTAACAAGCATGGTTTTGTGGAAGAAAGCTCAAAATAATCTGTGTCATTTCTGCTTGAATGTGCAAACACTACAACATATAGTGTCTTCTTGCAAAACATCCCTGGACGAAGGTCGATACACATGGAGACACAATTCAGTGCTGAAACACCTAGCAACGTACATATCTAGTGTCAGAAGGGACTTTCACGTTTATGCAGACATTTCTGGTTTTGATAATCCATCTGTGATCACAGGCTGTAATGACCGACCAGACTTGGTAATATCAGACAACAACCAAAATATATATGTTATTGAATTGACAATCGGCTTTGAAACTAATATGGCAAAAAACTGTTTAAGGAAAAGGGAACGATACAAGGATCTTTGTAACTTTTTAAGAGAACGATTTAACAAAGTAACGTATTTTAACTTATGCATGGGCGCGATTGGAGTTTTAAGTCATGAATGTAAACAGTTCTATGACTTTTTGGACCGCGAAGTAAGATTAAGCGATATGCAAAGAAAATTCATCATTAGAAAACTAACCGGCTGCTGCATAAGGACAAGTTATTATATATTTTGCTCTAGAAACAGACAATGGTCTTGCCCTGAACTTTTATATTGGTATGTACAGTTATCTTATTTGACACTGTCTACGTTGTTACCTTACGAACGTATTTTAAAATAACGTATATTGTAATAGCATTTCTGTATAAATTCCATTTTGATGATTTGTAAATATTTTAAGCTTAGTTTAACATTGTATTCTTTTCTTAATCTTTTGTACCATAATGTAGCCAGGTTGCCTATAATACTTTAGTGAGAGCTGGTTACTAATATTTGTATGAAATGAAATAAAATGTGTTTACATTAATATTTTCCATAACTTTGCTGCAAATACAAGTTAAAGAAATTGGTCTGTAGTTTACAGGGTTATTTTTGCTATCCTTCTTATGGATTGCACTAACCAAGGCTTTTCTCCAGTCCAATGGTAATTTATCCTCGTTATAAGTCGTTGAAAGATGAAACAAAGCCAAGGTGCAATTATAGGAGCAAGTTCTTTCAAGATTCTGGCAGGGATTTCATCCGGACCGCAAGTTTTACCAGGGTTTAACCGAGTTAATTGATTTGAAACACCTTGAGTAGTGATTTGCAATTTAGCAATTGATTTCTAAGGTGATTGATCGGTGGTGGAGGAACCAAGCATTCCATAGTGAAAGTTGAAGCAAAATGAGAACTAAGAATTTCAGCTTTATCCCTGTCTGTAGAGCAGAATTTGCTCCCTGCTCTTAAAGGAGGAATGCCAATGATTTCTGATTTACTGGTACGTGCGTATGACCAGAACTTTTTTAGATTGTTAGTTAGGCTATCTCCAATGACGTTGTTTAAATATTGGCTGTGAGATTCTTTAACCATCTTAGAGACAAGGTTTCTCTCCTTTTTAAAAGACTCCCAATGGCACTGTTTACGTGATCTCATAGCTAGTTTATGTAATCTATCCTTCTTCCACATACGTCTCTCGATGCATGGCCACAGTTATCTATGGCAGTTTGTGTTTTGATACAGACAATTTCTGGGGGATGTGGTCATTTACAGCTTTAAATAAGGAGGACTTAAACATGTTCCAATTTTCATCCACAGAATAACCTTCGGGGTTGAAGTTAAAGAACGCAGCTGACGAAAGCGAGATATAGTTAGAAATCTCATTCCAGTTTGCTCGCTTATAAGCATATGTCTTATGTGGTGGTTTAAAGGATCTGATAGGTTTAGTATGAATATCAAAGAGAACAAGAAGATGATCACTCATGCCAGATTGTGTAGACACATTTGAAACTGAGTTTGGATATGACGAAAACAGTAAATCCAAAGTTTTACCAGAGGCAGGTCGTGTAGGAACTTTGTCATGTTGGGTGAATGAGGAATCATCTAGAACTTGTAGTAATTTAGTATGCTGTGCTGCAGTGTTGGAATTAGTGACATATGGTACTTCAGACTCCCAAGCAATGTCACCAAGATTGAAGTCTTATCCCATGATAATATTGGGATAGGGAACTTGGGAGTCAAGTATTTTATTGATGGAGTCTTGGATCTTATCAATATATCGGGAGAGGAATTTGGTGGTCTACAACAAGTAGCTGGGCAGATGGGCTTTCGATTGGCAAGCTTTATGTATGTCCACAGGATTTCACACTCACTAGTGTAATTAGGGTGTTCCTCACATATTAAATCAGACTTTACTGCCTGAAAAACACCACCCACATTCGAATTTCTATCATTCCGGAAAATGATGTAGTTGATTGGAAAAACTGAATGAGTTGATATGCTGTGATCGAGCTTAGACTCCGTCCCTAGGACAATGTCAGGTTAATGGAGATCCAATAATGCTTGGAAATAGTTGAAGCGAGAAGTCCCTTTAGGCAATTACAATTAATTATCATACCTTTAAGGACATTTTCCTTTTTGACTCTTGATATTCTTTGTTTCCTAATGTAGGTTTAGATGATGGTAACTGTTTTTTGGATGGTTTAGGACTAGAGGTTTGTTTTGGTTGAAAGGAGACATTAACAGTGGTGGAAATGTTTACATGTGTAGTTGGATCTGACAGGGATTTATCGAAGGAGTCTGCTAGACCAAAGAGCGGCGAAAACCTGTTGGTATAGGTACTATCATCGTATGAATCAAATAGGGAACTGGAAAAATTCGGTAGACTGCAATTATCACATTCCCATACACAAGATGAATTAGCCAGAGCTTCGTATATATGAATGTTCATCTTCATGCATCGCACGTGGTACCAAACATCACATGAATCACATTGAATTTCACGTTGATTTGCCTTAACCGATTTCAAACATATTCCACATGGGTCCTTGATTAGTCCGGGATTTAGTTGGATGTCTCCACAGAGAAAAAATAGCGAGATAAAGATCTTAGTCGATAGAGTTGGATTTCTTTTCGAGTCTCGCTCGAAGACATCAGTTCGTAGACCTCGTGCTCGAGCTAAGCCAACCTGTACAGGTGTCACTGATGCAAATGTATAGTATTAAAAACCTCTCCAGGTGGAACATTGCGTTGTTTATAGCATTCCTTATAGCATGTTTGGTGTGCCGCCATGTTTGGTGAATTTATCGACTCCTAACTGCTAATTTACAAGAATTTTTATCTGAATTAGACAGTATAATTAAACAGCTAAATACAAAGAAATATGAAGTAATTATACTGGATGACATGAATATTGATTTTCTTAAATATAGTGAACATACAAATAATGAAGAAAATTTAGATATGCTTTACTCAAAAAATTATATTCCTTTAATAACCAAACCAACTAGAATAACAAACCATGCATTCTTCCACTTTAATTGATCATATTTACTCTACAGGGTGTATAAAAAAAAACGCAACCTCGGAATTTCCTAAGAAATCACTTTGCAATTCTTAAGCATAAAAGATTTTAGGCCCCTGGGAATTGAAATCGAATTGCTAATAGATCATATTACTATTGTTGTGATTAAATAAATGCATAAATTTTGCTTTATGCACTCGCATGTGCAGTAATTTTGACAGTTATGCTATTTTAAATTCCCATGCAGGCGCCTAAAATCTTTTGTCTTTAAAACAATGTCGATTTCTTGGGAAATTCCGAGGTTGCGCTTTTTTTGATACACCCTGTATATAACTGCACTACTATACAGAATACTGTCTTTGGTATTGCCTTGATTGATATATCAGACCATTTACCTGTCTTTTGTATAAGTGGTAGGCTATTTCAGCTAACAGAGTTAAGAAGATTGTCTACTTAAGAGATTACAGTCATTTTGATGAGACAAAGTATGTAGATGATATGAATTCGATTAACTGGGCAGGAATATTCAGTAACCATGAAAACCTGCAAAAGAAGACTACTGAATGTATTAATACCATCACATAAATTATTAACAAACATGCTCCCCAAAAAAGACATTGCTTAGCAAATTGAAGCAATTAGCTAAGCCTTGGCTATCTAAGGGACTCATTAAATCAATTAAAATTAAACAAAAGTTATAGCGTTCACACTTTTTGAGCAAAGACCCAACAACAATCTCTAGATATAAAACATATTCAAATGTACTAAATAAATTAAAAACTAAGACAAAAAGAGTACTATACACAACAATTTCAGTTATGCATGTAAAGACAATTTAAGGAGCACATGGAAACTGATTGGAACATCAATTAATCGCAAAAGTAAAGGCCAGTCTTCTCCTTCTAGAATTGCTAGAAATAATAAGGTGTTCACCACACAATCTGATATTGCGGAACAGTTTAACCAGCATTTTGTCAATGCCTACCCTAACTTAGCCTGTCAGATTCATAAGAGGGGCAAGGGTATTTCTGTTGACTCGTGGCAATCTTTCGTGCTTCGTGAGTCGTGATTTAAAGAAATACCATTCCGTAAATCGTAATTAATATGCGTGCCGTAAATCGTGAAAAGCTAAAAGGCTAGCTAGGGTCTTGAATTTTCCAATATTTCCCCCTAACATTCGAATGTTTACATTTAAAACTCGGCCCTAATTTATATTATGGGGGGGGGGGATGAATAAATTTTGCTTCTCGCGGTTGTCTTTCTTGACGTTTCTTCGTTTCATCGGTAAACGTCAGTATCGTATACCTTCGTACGTCTTCGTGAACCATCGTAAGACGCTCGTAATGTTTCGTAATGCCTCGCAATTATTCCATAGTCCTTTATAAACTCTAATGTTAAAGTCAGTAAAATGTGTTTCTGTTAACATCGAGTTCTGCAGTCCAGAAAATTTTTAAATGATTTCAGACTTTGTTACGTTTTTGTGTTTCTAAAAATCGTGGAAATGAAATTTTCTTATTCGTGACTCGTGAAATCGAAAAATGATCTTCGTGATTTCGTGACGAGACCGCCCCCCTTGCCCCCTTCCTAGCACTAATGATGATCCCACTAAATACATAAATAATTCCCAAATATCAAGTTTCTATATGTCACCTGTCACAGAAGAATATGTTTGTCGACTATCCTCTGGACTGAATGAAGCTAAATCATCATTAGAAATCCCAAATAAAATGATTACACTGGTAGCAGCTCCACATCAGTACCCTTTACAATTATTTTCAATCGATCATTTGCTACTGGTATTGTTCCTGATGCATTTAAGGTATCTAGAATAACACCAGTTTATAAGAATGGAACAATGACTGATCCTAGCAATGACAGACCAATACTTTGCAATCCTGTCACCTTTTAGCAAGACATTAGAGAGAATCATTTATAACCAGCTGATATTTTTTATAGAGAAATTTGATATGTTAACTAAATTTCAATTTGGTTTTTGAAAAGGGCACTCAACTGAACAAGCTATACTAGAGATAACTGTAATTCAAGCTTTCGATACAGTAAACCACAAAATACTAATAGCAAAATTATATAAATATGGAATGAGAGGTAGACCATTTGAATGGTCGGACAGTTATTTCAGTAATAGACGTCAATTTGTGCAAATAGATAATGAAAAATCTAGTTTTCGCACAATGACTTGTGGACTCCCCCAGGAGTCAACACTGGGACCACTCTTATTTTTAATTTATATATTAAAATGACATGGTTAATTCTTCATCAATACTTTCCTTTCGTATGTTTGCAGATGATGCTAACATACTTTATTCAGATAAAGACCCAAAGAGCCTGGGAACGAGGTTGATAAAGACCCCATAAAACTTGAATTAGTCAGGAATACTGAACTTAAAAAAGTTCTTGATTACTGTTCTATAAACAAATTATTAGTTAATATGAAGAAGAACAACTTTATGGTGATATCCTCAAACTCAAAAGAGCATATCAATATAAACATACATAATATTGAACGTAAAAGTTGTATCAAATATCTTGGAATATACCTCGATGAACATCTAAATTGGAAGAGTCAAATCGTGCATGTTAATAATAAAATAGCCAGGAACATTGGAATTTTTATAAATACGTCATTATCTCAATATACACATGCTTAAACAACTCTACTATATCCTTATTTATCGTTATCTAACTTATGGTGTTATGAGTTGGGGTAATGCGTACAGTACAAATTTAACTAAGATTCGTACTAAACAAAATAAGTGCATTTGCAGTATTTTTTTTGGCAGTGGCGTAGCCAGGATTCTGTCTTTGGGGGAGCGAAATTGCTCGAGCGTCGAAGATGCGAGCCCCCTAGGGGGGTCTGGGGGCATTCTCCCCCTGACATTTTTTGAATTCTAGAATCTCTCAGACTGCACTTTCCGCATTCTGAGGCGAGATTTAAAAAAATAACTGATCGCCATAAATAGCAAAGTTTTATTGTCTCCAAACCAAAACAATGTAGTGCACATATAAGTCATATGTATGTGGACCTTGTAATGCTATATTTTCCCTAAGAAGCAATTGAAAGGTAGAAATCCGCTACCATGGATCAACGGCGATATTCTCTATCAAATTAAGAAAAAAGACTCTATTCGACGAAGATTGAAAGCCACTCCTACTGCACATCTTCACGAGAAATACAAGAGAATGCGTTCTAAAGTTAAACGGTTACTTAGTGACAGCCGCGAGAATTTCTTCTCCTCGGTTAACAACAACTTTATTAACAATCCCAAGCGCTTTTGGTCTGTCCTTAAACATAAATCAAAAACTTGCAGCATCCCCGATTTCATTTCAATGCCTGCAGCACTCAACTCCTCCGATCAAATTCACATTAGACCTAGCGCCACGAGACCAGCTGAAATAGCCAAAATGTTCAATACTTACTTTGCATCAGTATTTGCAACAGACAACTTATCTGATCAATCTGAAAAACTAAGTACTGACCCATTCATATCTGAAGTAATTGTAAACGAACCGGAAATTGAAACTTTACTTAAAACCCTCGATAGCAACAAAGCAACCGGTCCAGATGAAATTCCAGCCAGACTACTCAAAGTGACTGCCTCCATTATTGCTCCCTCTCTTTGTAAATTATTTAATAAATCATTACGTCTTGGCACGGTTCCAGAAGAATGGAAGCTAGCAAATGTTGTACCTGTATTTAAGAAAGGTGAAAAAGATCACTGCGAAAACTACAGACCGATCTCACTCTTATCGATTGTTTCGAAACAGCTAGAACGTTGTGTCCTTATGAACATCAAGTGCCATTTGTCCCAGATCATCTGCAAGTGTCAACACGGGTTCCTTCGAGGTAAATCATGTGTAACAAATCTTTTAGAGGCAATTGACTATATTGGCAGGATTCTGGACAATGGGGGACAGGTAGATACGATCTATCTCGATATGTCTAAAGCCTTTGATCGGATTAATCATACGAAATTAATTACTAAACTGAGAAATTACGGCTTCGGTGGTAATTTACTAAAGTGGTTTCAGTCATACTTATCGGATCGTTGTCAGCGTGTAACGGTACTTGGTTGTACCTCAAACACACTTCCTGTATCATCAGGTGTCCCGCAGGGCTCCATTCTTGGACCAGCGCTATTTTTGCTGTATGTCAACGATCTTTGTGATTCAGTAAAGACCAGCGAAGTAGCCATGTTTGCAGACGACACAAAGTTATTTTCATCTGTCAAATGTCAGGACGATGCTATGTTACTTCAAAGTGATCTTAGAAGCTTAGAACACTGGTCATCTGTATCTGGTTTGACCTTCAATGAAAAGAAATGCAAGCAGCAACGAATAACGAGAAAGATTACACCAGTAACATCATCATATATGATAAACGATCACCAATTAAACACAACCGACACTGAAAGAGATCTTGGTGTATGTATAGCATCAAACCTTACGTGGAAAACGCAAGTTCACCATCAGGCGTCAAAAGCAAACCAACTGTTGGGCTATATAAGAAGAAATACCATGTTCATCAAAAGTACTGCACCAAGACGAACATTGTATCTTGCACTGGTTCGATCTCATTTCGGGTATGCCTCCCAGATTTGGGCACCGCAGACGATTGAACTTATTGACATTTTAGAAAGAACTCAGAGGCGGGCAACAAAATATATTTTGAACTTGCCATTCTCGACAGACGTAGACTATAAAACAAGATTACAATCCTTGCATCTTCTTCCCGTATCCTACTGGCATGAATACCTAGACATGATCCTCTTCTTCAAAATCACACACGGTTTGGTGGAAATGTCTGCTCTTCCTGACATTCATATTATGCAAAGAACGACACGATCGTCAGCAAGTAATAACGCTAAATATGTCGTCCGCAAATGTAAAACCAATACCTACCAGCAGTCGTTTTTTGTCAGAACGTGTCGAATATGGAACGCTCTCGTAGATGAACTAAATTATGACACGAACTGCTGCAATTCCTTTAGATCAGCCTTACTGGAATACTATCACAAATCTTTAGAAGTTAATTATAATCCTGATAATCCTCGAACATTTAAAACTATATGCCTGAAATGTAACTCTGTACGAAGTCTTACATATCCGATATCCTGCTGCTTTTAGTAACTAATATTGTTTGTTCGTAGGTTTGTTAGTCTGTCCAGTTGAATGTCTGTTGTTTGTTTGATTGTATCCAATTGGGCCCGCAGTAATTGGCAATAAGCTGTTGCGGTGTCCCGGCCACTCTGTGTAATTTTATGCCGGCAAAGTTAATAAATAAATAAATAAATAAATAGACTACACTAAACTGAAATTTGACGCATCAAAAAGTTTCAGGCCAAGTTCAAACCTGGAACTTCACATGAACCAAAATCAATGCAAATTAGGTTAAATTACGGAAAACATTCTTGACAATTGAGTTAGGTTTATGTGCGTTTGACGTTTGAACTTGAACTAGGCCTAGGGCTTTGATTATATATTTCAAACAGTGCCATTCAAATTGTCGAGTTGTAATTTTATAGTAGCCAAAACTGACATATAGTCGATATACTCACATAAACAGCATTACAATTTGTAGTCGACACATGCATAAGCATAATTTGCAAGTATACGATATATAATTGGTATTTACATGCACAAGCAGCACAACAAATAATATGGTACTTAAACTAAATCAACTCTTCTTCCAGCTTGTCGCGGATAGTGTGCAGAAGGGCTTCGGCAGTAAGTTTGATTCATTGGTTCAACAGATAAAAGGCGTTCCTCTGTAGTTCCATTCCGAACATAGCGAACAAGCAGGGACAGCTGTTCTATCTTTCCACTGTCGGGTGTTTCATCTGCAATGATTGCAAAGAACGTAGCTTCTTTAACACGTCGTATAATTTCTTTGGATATGGCTGAACCAATTACCTCTATCATATGATTCTGGATATCAGGACTTAGATATGTAGCGTGATCTAAATAATGATGAATAGTCGTAAGGTCGTGTATTTTGAAAAGATTTATATAAACTAACCATCGCGTAGACACAAGCCTAGTTCAAATCAGATCCTAAAGTTTTTGTAAGTTAATTATGTAAAAAGACAATTAGACAAAATTTAGTACATATACAAAGTCGCCAGCTGTGATAAAAAATATTAGTTTACCTGCGCAGTTTTTAAGATGATCTTCCATAAGAGGATCAACCGTTGCCATATGCTAAATACGCCGTTGTTTAGTGAACATTCGCCTTCCGGATGGCCTCTGAAGGGTAAGTTAAGTCTCCCCAGCAATCGAACAACACTCAGAATTTTTCCAATTATAGTCCGATTTTTCTTAACCTAAAAATACAAAGCAACATTAGATAGGAATGACATGTACAGGTTCAGAGGAATTCGAATATTGGTTGATTCAATATACAATACAGCAAGGCAAAAAGAACATTGACTTGAAAAACATACTTTTATAGCTGATGGTAAGACTCTTGTCTCTCTGCATCTTCGCTAAGTTGATGATCTACCGGTTTGTGGCTTTTCCAAATGCGAAACGACTGGAGAGAGTTCTTGTGGCACTCGGAACTTTCGTCTTTCTTAAAAGCCTCACTTTTCTTCCAGTTATTAAATCCAGTTTTGATGAATGCGGGCTCTCCTTTGAACGAGACCTACAAATAAATAAATGATATAATAGTTTTAGAGGTTGTATAATATACAAAATAATTATCTTTTATCATTGACTCTAACGATCAGTTGTTTCAAATGTAAATATCGCCAGACGTGTTTACTCTATATATACGATGTGTTCTATACCTGTCCGTTGAAAACTCGGCAGTAGAAACAAAACGCTATATCAGATGACGTTGAATACTCATGCACGATGAGAGAAATTTTCGATTAAATCTGTCTTTTGGATAATCTACGTCGGTTGGCTGGCATGGTCCTTTTTTATAACGTGGTCTCTGGCTGCTCTTCCAGTGGGCAAATTCGTAGGTTGAAAGATCTACTGGTGGCGCGTTAGCCATTAAAAGTCAGTCAACCCGAATTTACAACTTTGTATTTGTGTCGACACTTGCTTGCGTAACTTTTTTGTCAAATAACACAGCACTCTCACTTATATACTTTGTCGAATATTTAGACTATATTTATATAAAAGGGGCAGTCTGGGTTGGGCATGCTAGAATATACAGTATGATGAATATTCTGCGTAGATAGACGTTTCGCCTTTTAGTACATGCCAATACAATATTTTACAGTTTATCAATGAAATTGCCATAACTGCATATTAAAGTGAGAAATACCAATAGTTTGATAAAAGCTTGGAATGACTGATTTTATAAAACGTCTCGGAAACAATACGAACTGACATTACTGACTACAGATTACGCTGTCACCGAGTACAGAAATTTCTGCTATTAAAAATATTATACTTCACCACAAACACTCGATAGTTTATATACAGACATTTATAGTTCACTAGCTGGCTCTCGCCGGCTTGGCTGGCATGTTACCTCTGGAGCAAAATTTCAATCTTATTTTATTATTTACTATTTATTGGGCCATGTAAACCTTGCTCTATCGCGATATAATAATACAAGAATAAGCTAGCTGGTATAGACTGCGAGCGGTCTCTCCTTTCCACGGGTTATATCGCGATATAATAATACAAGAATAAGCTCGCTGATATAATTCAGCTGCTGACTTATAATTTTATATCAAAACTATCCACTGGCATCTATTCATGTATACATCGCTCCGTATCTTTGATAGATAAAGCACTGTGCTATAATACTATCAACCTCAGTTGTAATACACTCTAGTCTACACGATTTCACACCACCGCTCAAAAGTCACCGCTCGTCCATGTCCGCCATTCTAAAATGATAATATGTATTCTATGATATGAGAGCACGTGTATTATGCACGTGTATTGATGTTGCAGGGGGGCATATCATATAATAACTAGTATACTTATCAGTAGTATGCTGACTTGCTCCTCAATTTGACGATATATAAAAAACGGCCTCATCTTTCCACATTAACAACTTACCCCAGTTTAAATACAATCTCGTAAGCTCCTAACCAATCGTAACTGTAACCTCAACATTAACTTAATCGTTGTGACGTCATTATTGTAAATATGAATAAACCTTGTTTCTAACCCTAGCTTTATTGTGCGCGAAACATGAGAATCTAACCATACACTATTTTTTAATCTTTCTATCCTACCGTTACTCTAATATTTGTGACATCAAAACGACAATTATAGTATGTGTGTACGTGTACCCATTTTTGGAACCTTTTCATTAGACCACAATATCAGCCAATAATTATTTTAAGAGCACACAGATTTTTAATTACACACCAACGATCTCTATTAAAGACCACAAACATTACTTCAAATTATCACAAGACCACAACTGTACAGTGAGTGCGACTGTGTGGTATGTACTATTTAAAACGCGATCAAGAGTGCTTTATCAGATATAAAACACGTGAGCGCAGCTCGAGTGTTTTATCTGATAAAGCACGGACTTTTAAATGGCTTAAACATTAAAGACCGCTTCACATATACCTACTTTAATACACCTGCGGTATGTCGGCGGGCTATTGAGTATTGTCGTTGTAGTACTTCAACCAAATAGTTCACAAAATAATGTATGCATCAACAACTGCTCTGAAAAGGTGTGAACAATGATAGCGCAGACATACGGCAGGCATATGTGAACCAGGCTAAAGAAAGAGTAAAGTAAAGTACTCAGCTGATATTTTACTTCGCTTGAATATACTTCTTCGCCAAATTGCCTTTCTTAGTTTCTTTTGATTTTATTGAAGCGAAGTCGTTTAAGAACTGCCGTGAATACCGAACAACATGGTCATGGAGCAAAACTTGCACTCCAATTAAGGACGTCAAATTAAGCCACGTTACTTCGAAAACTACAGGGTGTATCAAAAAACCTGCAAACACTATAATTTGCATAATTCTGCTGCCTACTAGCATTTCAATCTCGGTGCTACTTATACAGAGTGTATAAAAAACCCCGCAAACTCGGAATTTCCCAAGAAATCGACATTGTTTTAAAGACAAAAGATTTTAGGCGCCTGGGAATTTAAAATAGCACAACTGTCAAAATTACTGCACACGCGAGTGCATAAAGCAAAATTTATGCATTTATTTAATGCACAATAACAGTAATATGATCTATTAGCAATTCGATTTCAATTCCCAAGGGCCTAAAATCTTTTATGCTTAAGAATTGCAAAGTGATTTCTTAGGAAATTCCGAGGTTGCGTTTTTTTTTAATACACCCTGTACAGGGTGTCACAAAAAAAAGTGACACTATAGAAATTATCTCATTGTTCTTAAGCCGCTCTTAAACGCGCGTGATTACACGCCTGGGAATTTAATGAACTTGTATTTACATTTAAGCATTTTAAAACGTTTTCGCTTTGTCCAAATATTTTAACGCCCGAGTCAAGCAAAACGATTACACTAATAAACGGTTTGCTTTTTTATTTTAAATTCCAGAAGCAGAAGTTTATGCACCTGTGGGATCAACTTAGTGCTAGGGCATTCAAATTATAACAATGGAATAATTTCTATAGTGTCACTTTTTTGGGGACACCCTGTATATAATTAACCCCGTTGATAGAGATTAGAATAACACAAAGTTATTTGTAAAGCAGATAACTATTGTGTTTACGCACGCTTGGGATCAATTAGTTCTAAATCATGCAAATTCTAAAAACATTGTACTACAGTATACAGGGTGAGGAAAAAAACCCTGATACCTTTGATATTCAAATTAGCCGCATAGGTGTCAGTTTTTTTTTTACTCACCCTGTATATCAAAGGTTTGCAGGTCAGTTTTTTTTATACACCCTGTAGAGTTGAGGACATTGTTTTTAATGCTTCGACACATGCCTAACATAACAAAAGCATGATCAATTATAAAAAAATATTCAGTGCACATTATCTTCAATCCCATGCAAGATCCTACTGACTTGCTCCTGCTTGCGTTGCATGCTTAAACAATGCACATGCTTAAATTAAATTAAATTATATATGTTGTGTATACAGTGTAGCAGTATGCTTTTTGGCAGGCAAAGTACATTATTTTAATTAACCCATGAAAGAGCACGCAAAGAATCGTTCTTTTAAATTAAAACGCCATGCTATAATTATAAACATATAGTTGGCAGTTGTCGGACTGTTGATGTCATGTCTCCGTGTACCTTATAGTCAAATCATATTCAAACAAAAGGTCTACAAACTAAACCCTGTTTAAATGATAGCAAAGTGAAACTGATGGACAACAATCGAGATGAAATTGGTTCGCTTTTAATGCTTGAAATGAACGCTTTCAGACGTGCAAACACAAGACTAAGACCTAAGTGCTAAATGAAATAAGAAAAGACGCATAAATTCCCTTTCTAAGCGTTATAAATTGTTTGTAATAAACAAATTCAGTATATATAGTGTAAGACCAGCCAGAAATCAACAGACCATACAATGAATACAAAATACACCAGAAGAACTGCATCGTTATAAACTGACTAATGAGATTCCCCCGTATTTATAGCATCATGCATGCAAAGCATTCTGGTCGGTTAACAGCAATGCATTCTGGTCGGTTAACAGCAGTGCATTCTGGTCGGAGAAACGGAAGTAAAATCTTACTTTCAGACCCCAATACGAATTAGAATTGCTGACTTGCTCGCTCGCTTCAGGCTCGCTCGCTGCGTCAGCAACAAGTGCTTGAAATGCAACAGTAATTTCGTTATAACTTCTCTAAATGATATTTGTGATGTTACTCTGAGTGTATATCCACACCGGGCGAGCTTGAAAAATATGCCCGGCCACGGTGGGATTCGAACCTACGACCTTTGGATACTAGCCCAATGCTCTTCCAACTGAGCTACGCGGTCACGACGGTTCGAGTAAGTGATATTTCGGAACAGAATCTAGTTCCTTCGATACCAATGTATTCTAGTAATATGATTATTTTTCTGTGTTGGTGTTGTGTACTCAGGTGAATATGATATTTGTGATGTTACTCTGAGTGTATATCCACACCGGGCGAGCTTGAAAAATATGCCCGGCCACGGTGGGATTCGAACCTACGACCTTTCGATACTAGCCCAATGCTCTTCCAACTGAGCTACGCGGTCAGGAATTATGCAAATTCTTTTCAATGTGGTGGTGACCATGCAGAACAGAAATGACGGAAGTAGTTTTGTTTTATTTGTTTAAAACTTAAAATTTCTATTTCATCGTGACTCGTGAGAGTCTAAAAGACAAACCTTGATTTTTCCATCCTGCCCACCAGAGGCTAACATTTCACTATCTCGACTGAATGTCAGACACAACACTGCATCCTCCATCATCATGAAGTTATCCTGAATAAAAATTACCAAAATTGGTCATTCTGTTTACTCATTTTCATAAATCCAATTTGCAGTAATATCGGTTTACAGTGCGTCTACAGTAAGTGGGGTCACTTAGGGAACACTAACCAATTGCATTGCAAAACAAAAAGAAAAATCTAATCAAACTAAAGCTCGTCCAATCAAAAGAAAGATTCAGGAAGCCATTAACTGCAGTGTTTACTTTTACAAGTCTATTTTTACCGTTTGACATTCGTTTATTTGTTCAAATTGTTTTTGGCCTAATGCTGATTGGCTAATGCGCCGCTTGTTGATTTTTTCAATTTTTGTTCTGCAATGTGATTGGTTAGTGCTCTCTAAGTGGCCCCACTTACTGTAGACGCACTGTAACATATTAGGGAGTTTAAGCTTCACGTTTCCGGGAACGGCAAACGGCATGTTCGAGCTTTCTTGGCAAAATTTTCGTTGAACGTTTTCGTTTCATATTTTCTTTCTTGTGTCGAAAGAATAATCATGCATTGCAGTTTTAAAACAGCAAGTTCATTTACTCTTTATTGCCTGATACCGTAAAATTTTTCTTTGCCTGGCGTTTGCCGTTTGCCGTATAACGCGAAGCTTAAACTCTCTATTATGTGTTCATTTACCCTGGACCTACCTGTGCTTGATATTTCAAGTCTTTTCTTATTTTTCCCGTCGTAAAATTCCAGACCTCGATAAAACCGTCGACACTACCAGTCACCAAGTACTGTCCATCGGGCGAGAACAAACCACATTCTGGATGGGATTTCGAACCAAACTAGGACATTTATGTATAGAGAAATATTCTATAAATGTTCACAAGATCAGTGGTGTACTGTACCCAAATGAGTGGGGGGTCCTTTCCGGAAGGGTGTATTATTGCACCCTGTCCATAACCTTACAAAACAAAAATACGGCATACACAATAAAAACAAATTGGTTAAAATGTCCAATTCAGTATTGGTCATTCCGACCAATACATAATTGGTTGCATCTTCAAATGGTAAATTTAATTTCTTTTGGTCACTCAATGTTGAATGACCCAAAATAACCAATAAAAATCGGTCATATCTGTAACCAATTTAACATTGGTCATATGCATAATCAATTTTAAATTTGTCAAATCTATAATTACCTTGACAGTTTTATTGAGATGTGTTGGATATTTTTCCTCTTCCTCGTCGCGTACAGCTGCCTTGCCTCGGAACATATCAATGGAAGTACCAGGAGGTAGTAGTCCTTGATACTGTTGCCATTTCAATGCCTGACCAAGCGGAGCTAGCAAGCGAGATGGTGGAACCACCGACACCTCACCGGATAAAGCTGGGAAGTAAAGGAAACCGATTTATCTGTGGTTACTGATATTTGTTAACAGGAATTTCCAACACTCAAAATTGGGGCAAAATGCTAGCAAAATATTACTAACAAAAGTTAACAGGCCAGTAACAGAAATGTCGGGGTCTCTGTAAAGAACGGAAACCGAAACGACCGAATCCGGAAACGACCGAAACCGGAAACGACCGAAACTGGAAATTCCCGCCCAATTTCCTGCATTGCCTAAAATTCAGCCTGCTAGCAGGCTTACTGGTAGAAATGTGAGCCTGCACTGAACCATGCGTTTTATTCATTCTTCCCTTATAATAAAGACTGTCAACTATCAAATTGACGCAGGGCGTGAAATGTAGGACGAAATGTATAAAAGAAGTGTGTAAACTCCAAAGATCGATAACATTTTTATATTTACCAACGTTTCGACAATATTTCAATCATCAGCAGGATAAAGAAATGTATATAACAATACGAAGCATTACCAAGCCGCACAATATATTAAATATAGGCTGCAGGTAATACATTACTAGTTAATCAATACACATACAAATTAAAAGTCAAATAAAATACTACCATTGAATGCAATAATACTTGTACTGCTTGTGATTGAAAGAACAATGTTCTGAATATTTGAAGCTATTAAAATGCAGTCAGATAAATGAGGATGTATTCAGTAATATTTTCAAAATCAAGAGCGTGCCATTTTAGTGGAAGCTGTATCGTATGTCAAATGAGAAAGTGAATGCAATATCGTTTTTATTAAATTAAACAAAACCGGCATGAACCGGCATTGTTCAGAAAGTTAATAATATGCAGTAAGATTATTAAATAATTTACAAAATTGTCAGCAGTTAAATAGTATACAACCTTACTTTTGGACGATATTTATCTAAATGCCAGCGATCGAGCGTCAACAATATAATTATTCGTTATGCGGGAAATTTAGGCGGGAATTTCCGGTTTCGGTCGTTTCCGCTTTCGGTCATTTCCGGATTCGGTCGTTTCGGTTTCCGTTCTTTACAGAGACCCGAAATGTCGTTACGATAGTCGAGGAAGAGATTGACTCAACTAACAGCGGTAATCAATTTATTTCGGAAAAGTATCCTGGTAAATGACTAACAGCGTAAGTAGATCTGACAGTTCCTTTATGAAAGAGAATCTGTTTGACAAACCCACATAGTTTTTCTTGACACAGAAGAGTAAATATCACAAGTAAAAGCCAGAATTATATTTATTGGACGGCCGGTACATGGTAATATTTATCAATGTGATTAGCCGATAACCGATCTGCCTGAAAGTTGCAGATTATCGGTTTCTACGGATTAATTTCCTAGTAACTTTCTAAGGCAATACCTTGGGCAATTGCGGCTCTTCTTCGTTCTTTACTACTTCCCTTAGGGTATGCCTGCGAGAAAAACAGCACAACTTAAATGAACTAAATCTTTACATTTCCAGTTCCTTGACAATGGCCTTGCAGCGAACTGTGGTAGTCACATTCACCTATCCGTAGCTATAAATTCCACAATAACATTCATGGCCACTCACCTCCCTTGGATCAAAATAAGATCTTGCCAGTAAGTTTTCCAAATGTAGGTATCTATCAGGTTGTTGCGACTTTAACATAATCATTGGATCTGTCTGACGAAGTAATGATCTGGCAGCACCAAGTTCACGAAGCTCAATTAATTCAAGCACAATCTGAATGAAGCATACAACATTAGCCTGTCAAGTGTCGTTCTTTCATGGTTGGAAAAACAAAATGTACTCAATAATAGATGAAATATCTAATTTCCTTCTGCCCTCTTATTTGGGAGAGAAATTAATTTCCATTCAGTTAAATAAGTTCAGGTATTAAATACATTCATTTGGTTCAAGGAAAAGAAAACAGAAAAAATATTTTTGTATCTACATGTCTTCACAGACATCTGCCTTCTGTTCAACTAATCAAGCATGTGCACAAATACCGTAAATCTCCGACTATGAGCCCTGGGCGATTTTTGATGGCCTTCTGCAAGGACGGGGGCTTATAAATGGGGGGGGGGGCTAATACATGGACAATCTTTTGTGTTAATAAACAAGTCGGTCATAAACAGGAAAATAAACATGTATTAATAACACGCATTGATTAACATAGTAAGCTATAAAGACAATGACAATGTTTTTAAATATTGTTCTCTGCTATATTTAAAGACACTGTCAATGTTGAATAACGTAGTAATACTGCATGGCAGTGGCGTTCCTGGGCCATTTCTAGTGGGGGGGTGTAGCATCCCATTTTTACCGACGAAAAGGGCGTTTCCCTTTCCAATTGTCGAACATTACAATACAAATTTTTATAGGATAAAAGTTGTAATTTGAGTATACATATTTGGTAATTTTCAAGTATGGTACCTATTGCACATATCATATACCTTAGGAATTAATTAATAATGATTTTAGCAAAACTAGATTTTTATCATTCTTGATTTATATAAAGACCACGAGTTAGCTACTTTATCCAACTCAAGTTCGTCTAATATATCTACAGATGAAGATAAAATCATCAAGTCGTCAAGACGGTTTTCTTTCATCGTTGATCGCAAATAGCTTTTAACAAGTTTTAGTTTACTAAATGAACGCTCATTACTTGCGACAGAAACTGGAATTGTTAATGCAAGCTGGTACGCTTTCGTCAGGTTGGGATAAAACTGTTGTTTTCCAAGTACACACTTCGCTGCTTCCTTCAGATTTTTGGCACCACTTTTCTCGATATCGGAAGATATTAACTTAATCTCTGCACACATAGCGTCTGGATCTTTGAAGTCCTGTGGAAATGCTGCGCATAAATTTTCCACTTCTTGCTTGGAACAATTGGGTAAATTTGCTGGAAGCAAAATAATTATAGGTAGCACAATATCAGATAAATATTCATCAATTTCGTTTATGTCCGATACAAGACGATCTAATACCTTAAACATTTCTTTCCGATAGTGTTGGCTAAAGCTAGGCACAGTAGCAGTGGCAAAATTTTCGTCGAAACGGGCAGGTGCTCTCCGTGGTCGGTGTCGTTTTGAAAATTCGTACTCCACATTGATTCCATAGGACTCGCATTTCTCGGTTGCTGCTGATATAATTCCCTCCATAGCAACATCATCTTCGCGCATGCGAAGCATTTCGTTTCGAGTTTGCTGTAGTACTTCGACACTTGCTAGGATATCTTGCTCGATTTCTTGCACTTCCATCACCACAATCTTCGCTTTGTAAAGCACGTTCTTCATAAACAAAAGACTGACATAAAATTCGAATGACTTTAATTTGTCTAATAAATTTGTGGCAGTCTTTTTGGCATCACCATCTGTTTCATCACACTCGTGTATATCGTGAAGAGTGCCAATCACCGTTTCATAACTGACCCATACAGCTTTGATTGACTCAGCTCTGCCAATCCATCGAGTCTGCGAAAGATTCTTCATGATGAGCCCTTCCTGTAAACTTTCGATTTTGCTCTTTAATTTTCCGAATCTACTTGTGCTTTTTGTTAGGAAGTTATAAAGCTCTTGCAATGTGGTAAAAAACTCCTCGATCATAACGGAAGATTTACAGGAATGTTCGACGCAAAGATTTGTTTTATGACCAAGACAAGTAATGTAGGGTATTTTTCGCTCCAAATGCTCACTTAACTTCGCTTGTGCCCCATTGTAAACCCCGGACATCGAAGCTGTTGTATCATAGCACTGAAAACGTATACCAGCATGGGGAATACCCAATTCTGTTACCATTGCTAGAACCTTTTGAGAAAATCCATCACCGGTTTTAGAAGAGATCTCTGATATTTTGAGAAGCCGTTCTTGGATGCGAAACTCTGCGTCCACATAGCGTATAATTAAAGATATTTGATCGGCATGAGCAACATCGGGTGTTGTGTCAGCAAGTACAGCGTAAACAGCCGAAGAACGTATTTGTTCTGTTAAAATGTTGCGCACTTCAACTGCTAAAAGGTTGATCAATTCATTCTGGGATTTACCACTCAAGTAAGTGACACGGTTTGGACGCAAATGGGCTGTGGTCAACCAGGTTTTTAGAAAAGGAATCCAGCGTGACAATAGGTTTACTAATTGTCTGAAGTTTCCATTTAGATCATCATCGCCACCACGAAAAGCAAGGGCTTGTCTTGACAAGTATCTACAACAATCTAGAATAACTTTAATGACTTCTCTATTGTGCAGACGTTCCCGCTCTTCTTGGGCAAGTAATTGCTTTCTCGCATTAGATAATGCTACATCGACGTGGTGACTTCTTTTTGAAAAAATATCGAACCGATCAACCGATGCTTTATGAGCTGCACTAGTGAAGTGCTGTACCAGTTTTCCTTGCTTGCTTTTCCCCCGGCCTTTCATCTTATCCCAGCGGTTTGCTCCATCTTTTGTCCATGAACATGATGTCCCAGAACCCTCCCCGAACAGGCTGCAGGCAAAACAAAAAGCTCGATCCAGAGTTGGACTGTATTCCAAAAAAGGCATTGATTCGTACCATTTTGATGTAAACGAATTTTGTTTCGATTTAGCGATTGTCTGGTTCGTTGGATAACTTTCAAGAATCGGCTGACAAGGTCCCAAGGCTATTAGAAAATTCTTTTGTGACTCATTCAGCTTTACCCCAATACGTTCTGCTGGATCGTTTGTCACGATAGAAGACTCCTCTTCAACTGATTTTTCCGACGTTTGCTTCAGAACGTTTTCTTCACAAGTTAAAGCTTCTTTTGACGATGACAATAACAAGTGACATTTTTCTTTCAAATCTGACGCAAACTTCTCGATAGTTGAAATAAATACATCTTGGCTATAATCTTCAGACGCGAACGATTCGTGCAAATCTTGGGCCTCTTTTAGCACATCAAGAATTTCTCCCAACATGCCCGCTAATTCATGGTCTTCTATTGTTGACTGTTCAGGTCCATCATCCTAATAAAATTACAAGGATTTACACTATGCCTACAATCAGTGACAAAAGGTTTTTGGACAGTGATATAATATAGACATATCTGCGCCTTTCCAAATTCTGTTCAGCATAAAACGATTATCCCTCCCTCCCCCACCCTAAACAATGTTGGGTGGCTGGCAAGAAACATTTTGCGCAGGTATTTCCACACACAACATTGAACGGAGGTGCGGGGGGTCGATTGTGTTGTAAATGTACGCTCTTTTGGTATTTTGTCCAAACTGTTTTGTCACTGATTGTACATTTCTTCCAAAATTCTACAAAGTCCAAGACGTTAAAGACATAAATTTATGAAAGTGCATTGAAGATGACTTACCAACGATAGCATGGGTTGAATAGGGTCATTAAACTGAAAGTTCGATGATGAATGAGACGATGTACTGGCAGCACTGCTTATGTCATCTTCTGGAAAGTCCGGAGTGTTAGTTTCGACGAGAACATCACTTATTGAATCCTTATCTATTTTCTGCTTCTTTGCTTCTTGGATTGTTTGATCCGGTTCGTTTTCGATTTTATTCCAACCTCGTTTTTCTATGGATATTTCTAATGCTGGGCCACGCGCATCACGCACGAATGATGGTACTTCTTCTCTTGATGTTGAGGGAATATCTTCATCTGAGCTCACACTGTCCGTATTTTCTTTGTTCTTAGTCTCTGTGTCCGCACTCGATTCAGCAGTCGGTTTCGTCGAAACAACGGCAACTTTCCGAGCGGCTGTGTCAAACGGATTTTTGGGCGCCCCAACTACTTCGTAGCGAATAGCTTTACGCTGTTTCTGCAAATCATGGTGTTTTTTTGAATTATGCTTTTTCTTGTAATCAAAATCCATTTCAACACCACATTCTAAACATTTAATTTTAAATCGATTTTTTCGTTCTCTTGGAGGCATCGTTTCGTTTCGTACTTTTGTAGCGTTCCAAGATCATATAAAGTATGATGATTTGTCTACGTTTATATATATTCTAGATAAGTAGGGCCTTTCCCATGACTTTACATAATTTACATCTACTACCGGTACGCAAATCGTGGGCGATACCGCCGATACGGAAGGGAGTGCTTACCGCAGTGTGCCATGTCATTGGCCATTTGGCCCACCCGCAAATAATGCAAATTCACTAGATGTTTACACAATCGTATCGTGACAGTTTGCTTTTTCAAAACGCTTTAACAAAATGCCAGAAATGAGTAAGATCACTAAGATGTGCTGTACGCGAGTCAGCCGACGCGTATGCATCATAGTATGTGACGCGCTATGTGTACAAGTTTATTTTTAATTTACAAAATTTGTCACACAAGAATTAGACAAGCATAAATTACGTAGTACTTTTACACATGAAAGATGTTGAGTTAAGGCGATTATATTCTGATTCTAAATGTGCAAATTAGTTTATTATTTGTCTATGCTTTATATTTTAGTGCTTATATATAATTAATATATACATATAATTTTTGTTCATTCAGCTAAAAGCAATTGCGCGAAAGAACCGACGACCGTAACGATTTTGAAATGCGATGTTGTATAATTTACACAAATACACAATGCGGTGAGCCGGTGAATGCTATTAAATCGCGCATCGATTATCGCATTATATACTATATTATATTATTGTTGGCAGATACATTACGCAAATACAGGATTAGCGCAGCGCGTGCTGATGCAATTTAACCGACCACAGGATATCAATGTAAAACCACTATCGAATAACGTATTTCTCAATAAACATTATTCTGTTAGACATGATCGAGCATTTAATCGCCAACAGAAATCTTGAATTATTGATTTACCAACGAAATACCAGATGAAATTGCAGAATAATTGCTTCAGTTTTAATAAATATTTTGTTACTTCTCATTTTAGTATTTTACCGACGATGAATTAACTAGTTTACCGACAAGCCTTCAATTTTCCGATTTTACCGACAAATTAAGAGAAAACTGGGGGGGTGTAACACCCCCCCACACACCCCCGCCCGGCACGCCCCTGATGCCAGATGATTTTACTCATCAGGGGGAGAGTCCTGCCACTCAATGGGTTAAATACTATAAATAATTTATGTATTGTGTAAATCTATATGTTATCAGCTATTCCATCTAATAAAGTTATGACAAATTCGAAATTTTGTTAACAATACAAACATCTAAAAATATAAAGTTGATGCATGATGTAATGTGGCAAACACACTTACTTAAAACTTGACTTCCGCTTGACAAGAAGGTGAAAGATCAAAATAAAGATGATGCTAGTTAGCCAGTGTGTGCACAAATAAAGTGGAGTATATCGAAGTAGTTTAAAAGTGAAAAAATGTTCCAGAAACACAGCTAAAAATGTGAGAACTGTTATGGTAACTTTCGTTGTTGTACTCCACGTCAGGGCGCGAGAATCGTGTCCGATGTGCTCGACTTTCGGGTTTGGTTTGACGAACAATAGCTCCTCAACAGTCGGTGTTGGACGAACGAATTCTGTCTCCATTCTTCAAGCAAAATTTATTAAAACAGCAAATTCATAACAAATAGAACCATGTTTTGAATCGGAATTTCCGGCGCATTAGAATTTAGAAGTATTAAATATTTGAGGTCAACAAAATACAGACAATATTCTTGAGAGTTGAGAAGAGTGGCTGCTTTTGGACTTCCGACAGCAAGGTCACAGAATAAAGTATTATGCAACAGTGGTACGCACCCCCTCCCCCCGTATTTCCCCACAATAAGGAATACACTGGACGGACCATTGACCAAACACACATCATAGAAATAATATATATTATATCTCATCTATTATTTCTATGAAACAGATCCAGTACGATAAAAAAGTTTTTAAATAAGCAATGTCACCGCTGTAAAAATACTCCATCGATATTTCCAGGGGGGGCATACTCCTGTCAACGCCGAGGAACAGCGAAATTATGCATACATCATATTGAGGTTAGTGATGACACTATTGTTGTTGTCATGTCGAACGTTTGGAAGGAAGCGTAGTTGTAGAAGACAGATGCATGTTTACACCGGGTAAAAATAAGAGTTATTATAGTATAAAAGCCCTATATTCCCGCCATGGGTGATCAAAGAGAGCTCTCGAGTTCAGTAAGTGCTGATAATGAAGAGGAAATTGAGAAAGATGCTGAAAAAGCTTACAGAAACATGTCTGTAGAAGCTCGAGTGTTTGGAAATCTTGTCACTGGTGTTGATGATGAGGAATTTGAGCATGTTTGGCAAGATGAGACATGTCATAGTTCCAAAATCACGACTCAAAAACAATCTGTAAATGAAAGAAAAGACGAGGTGTACAGTGCATCAACTGACAGTCGAAGGGACAGTGTTGCAAACAGTAGCGGGATTTTATCCCCTTCTAGTTTAGCTGGATTTCAAACTGTCTCTTTATCTGCTCTCCCTGGAAGCAGGTTAAAGATTGAAAGGTATAGTTGTGCGAAAATGACAACCGTTGCAAATTAGGTTAATGGGATTGATCTGCATCATAAAGTTTTTAATAGTTCGGTAACAATAGAACTAAAAGAAGAAATTTTCAGAAATGTTATTCCCATAGTGCACCACAGTCGCAATGGTTTTAAATCTAATTGACTATTTGGTAACTCAATCAGACAGTCAGTTACATTTTTACCAAGACATATATATTCCCTGGTCAAACAAGAATGAGAGTTGATGAGACCCAAGGAGTGAAAGTTTGCATGAGAGTCATCTCAACTCTCATTCCCCAATCAAACAAGAACAAGAGTTGCATGAGGGTTGATGAGAGTTGACTGGTATTACTGCATGCATAGCAAAAACTCTCATCAAAATTTGAACCAGTTCAAAGTTGATGAGAGTTTATGAGAGTCAATGAGAGTTGGTGGTCAAATGTGAGTGAGAGCTGCAACTATCATTCTTGTTTGACCAGAGCTTTAAAATGTCATCCAAAAGTTTCAACTATCATTCTCATTTGACCGGAGCTTTAAAAAGTCATCTAAAAGTCTCATAAAATGCAGTGACAATTCTAGAGAAAATTGAATTGTCCACTTTTGTAACATCGCTACACTGGGAGCCATATTTTTAATTCTGAGGGCTTCAAGACAACATTGTAAATATGGCAGAAAACACCAGTCAATCAAACTGCTGAGACAATACTTCTATACAATGTGAGAACTGAGAAAAATCATACCATCAATCACAACGCTTATTATGATAAGTTAAATTATGTGATATGAAACCTAACGTCCATCATAGGGATAGTCTATTATTATTTTATCCATCTTCTGCACAGAAATCTTTATACTTGTATAATAAATAACATTACCTATTTGGATTTCCATGCCCCTTAGTACCCCATTTTTGGTTTGAACATTCAAACATAGTGTTCCAAGGATGAGTGAAATTCACAGTATAATCTTGTCTGCTTAAGAACCCAAAGAACTACATGCAGATCATACAATATAACACACAGAAGAAATCAAACATATCTGACAGGTTCATGATTTATTTATGTCAGCTGTAAAGATAGTTTTTTAGATATTTAGCTTATTTGGCATATCACACTTTTCCTGAAAGATATGGCTTACAGTATGCAGGGGTGGCGGAGGGGTGTAAGTGATTTTGCCAAGTCACATCTCCACTGCATATTAAAAACTGGGACACAATAATGTATCAGTCAATTCCAGCAGTGCCCATCCCCCCCGGGCCACCCCCGGGCCTTCGTAGCTTTCCTAATCCCGGGGGTGGGGCTATTGCCGAAATTTTTCAGCTTGGGGGTGGGGACTTAGACGTTTTCCATCATGGCGATTAGCGGACTATAACATCGCAGATTTCGCTGGAAAAGATACTGAATTCGTTTGCAAATGGCTTGATACTCATTCTTTGGGATGGTCTTTCAGTACCATTGTCTTTGATCATTGATGAGTAAAATCCTTTGTCTACATGAAATAGTTTTTCTCCTTCAATGGACAATGATCACCATAAAAAATTATCTATGAGTGCACCAGACACCGGGCGCGATTCGACAACGCGACGCGATTTTTTAGTTTTCAAAGGTTAATAAAACATGAGAGCAAATTTTAAAAGATATGTAGACCAAATAACTCAAAATGTTATAACGCTTCTAAATATTTAGAAAGTTTAAACTAGGATCAAAGTTATCGGTCAGTGAAAATCGAAAAATCGCGTCGCGTTGTTGAATCGCGTCCGGACCTTTAAGTAAAGATAATATATTTTCAAAGGTTGACATTAATATTATCATAGGTCTAGCTAGATGCGTTGAAGTTAAGGTTGATAATATATACAGTGTTGCATTAATATAAAAGCATTTTTATCCTTGTGGTAGAACTTCTTTTTTGTACTTTGCATTTATATTGAATTATAACGTGCAAATATAGACCCAATTTGTTTGCCCAGGGGTGGGGCTTTAGCACAGTTTTCTTTCCCTGGGGTGGGGACATAGCCATTTTCTTTCCAGAACTGGCTAATTCCCCAGGAGGCGATTGGGCACCGCTGGAATTGACTGATACATAATTTCCTGACTATCTGACAACTGGGATGTGTATTCATGTACTGTGGGATAGTGCTGTCTTTGTGATATTTTTAACCTATTTATAGGGCTTCATCAGGAACTTCAAGTGAAGCTTCCAATAGTTCTAATGAAACAAGCCATAACTCAGCATTGTCCAATCATGATTCAGCTGTGATTGCTGCAAGCCAGATGAAACCACGTGGCCTAGGAGGATCTGGAAATAAACCTGAAATACTTGCCATGGCAAATCATGTGAATTCTCTAGAGCAGGCACAAGCTGAGTGGAAAATGGTGGAAAACATACAGACTGGTAGGTTGAAGGAAATTTTGACTGAAATTGATTGAAACATTTGAGTTTTCATGGATAGTAGGCTCACTTGGGAATAGTACACATGGCTGTATCAACTTATAGTCTTATATAAGTTATATTAATTATATTAAGAGGAGATTTTTTTGTATGTTACGTAACACGCGCTCAAAACTAATGAGTATAGTATACCACTTGAGGTTATGACTAAATTCGAAATTTTTATCTTTCGATACGTTTCTCAATCGGCAAACAAACTTAAAAAGTATGTTTAGTGCTGTATCTGTAAAATAATGCTAAAATGAAGAGATTTTAGGTGATACGCCAAAGAAAAAATGATGTCTGAAGTTCAGTAAGTTTGCTTATATGGCTGTAAATATGCATGGCGTCAATTTTAAAGCATCATTGATAATTGTATTTTAATTGACAATTTTTAACTATTATTTTATGTTTCTCAACCAGCAGATGCATTTAAAAAGGTAGCTAACTCTATAAACTAGAGAATAAAGCTAAAACAAAGTAATTTTGAGATGAACGCCAAAAAGATTTTAGGTTTTGAACACTTTTCATTGAAAATACGCGACATTGAAAAAATTGCCTCTTAAATTTTCCATTTTCCCTGATCTGTGAATTATCACATTTTCCACTTTTCCTGCATTATGCATATCACTGCTGATACATGTGGGCCATTTATGATGTTGGCATATGAATGATAATCCCCAGTGAAAAAGATAATTATACTGCAAACATATCCCTGGATACTTTTAAAACGTAGCGTGATTGTACTGTAGTCAAGAAAGCACAGCATGATCTAGCCATGTGCAACATTAACATCCACATCCATATACATGTTTGAAACACAGAATCAAATTCAGATAATCATATAATTATAAAACACTGAGCCAGTGAGGACTCAATAATATTCATACAATTCATACGTCACTCACCTAGGAGGAGGTTGAAATTTAAAAAGACAATGATTATAAGAATAATTGATATGAAGTTTCTTCAGAGTTGTAAATCGACATTTTATACCATGAAAACCATATACAGTATCATGAACTTTATGGTCCTCCGTACACTGCATTAGAATACGAATATTTTCTTGGTCTCATGGGAGCATGTCGCTCTCATGAATCAAGATGAAAGGCAATTCAAGCACAAGTCATGAGAACGAGGCTCCAATACCAGGGAGAGATTGTAATGGCCCGTTTACACTAATCACTATTCTTGCAATTTTTGCTGTGATTTCTGTTATAAATGCTCAGATGAAGGAACATGTATTCAGAACATTCAGAACTCTTCTACTCGTTCTTATCCGTCAGACCAAACGGGCCTTAACGTAATTATGGAAAAGGTGTATTGTTAAATATCCTAGGTGAAGGTGGTGAGACGGTTACACGATCCCCAGAAGTAAAGTTTTCCGAAGCACTCGAACATTTTCGCAACTGTGACTATATGGAACAACATATGTCTCATATCAAACCTACAGTACGGCATAAAGGATGTTCTTCTCTCACGCATGCGTTGTTTGGACCACCTAGGATGAAGAAACAATTATACAATGACCGAAACCTTGTGTTTGCACTTGCGTTATGTATGTTTGATAATGATGAACATATGCATAACTATGTTTTGCAAACTATATATAAACGGCTGGCAGGAACTAAACTGGATTGCCCGCGTTATGGTAATCATTGGGAAGTCATAGGTTTTCAAGGTGAGTGTAAACTATTTGACTTTAACTGGGTAGCTATATGAGTTGGTCTTCCTAGAGATCTAATTAGGCTATTGCTCCAGTGTTACTGCAGGAGCAAATTAGTGCAGTACCCGAAGAAAACCTGTGGTACTTGGCAGAGTCACATTGAACTGAGCAATTTAATGACTGTCCTCCCATGCGACCTTCTAAATACACCCTTTCGATAATTACAGTACGTCACAACTACACTGTTTTCAACTTAGGACCACCGTAAATGGAAAGATTTCTAGTTTTTTTTCTCATGGGCTATGCACAAAGAAGCAGAACATCCTTCTTCAACACATGCATGAAAAATAATTCTTTATTTTGACCAATAAATGTGGAAATAAGCTTTAACACGAAAACGAGGCTCTCGTTTTCGTGTTAATGCTTATTTCCATATTTATTGATCAAAATCCAAAATTTTTTTTCGTGCATGTGTTGAAGAAGGATGTTCTGCTTCTCTATGCATAGCCCATGAGAAAAAAACTAGAAATCTTTCCACTTAAGGTGGTCCTAAGTTGAAAACAGCATATAATCAGATAACCCTAAGGTTTAGCTTGATTCAGCATTCTAATTAGACTGCATTCACACGAGCCAGGATGAATTCAGAACCACACGCAAGTTCGTCCAGTAAGCTGTTCTCGAGTATTCCCTGTTTCATTCGTCCCTGGCGTAGGAGACGGGGCGCAGGGGGGGGGGAGCTCCAATAGAAGCCCCAATTGAAGCCGCCAACAAAACTACAAGATAAAAATCTATAAATATATAACCACATGCATGAGATCCTTAACACTTGATAAAATTGGGGTTTTTTCTTCAGGTATGGATCCATCGACAGATCTTCGTGGATGTGGTTTTCTCGGTTTAATGAATATTTTATATGTAGTGACCGAACCTCGTGCACATGCACTCGCCACGAATATTTACAAACTTTCTCTTCATGAGACTCAGAATTTTCCGTTCAGTGTAATGTCAATTAACATCACAAGAATAGCTCTGCAAACTCTGAGAGAGGGAAAACTCAACAGGTAATGAATAATACATGTTAAATTGTTTTTTACTAGACATATTCGCAATCTTTTCTCGACCTTTAAGCTGTTTGCAATCTTGTCTCAACCTCTAAGCGACGCCAATATTAAAATTGTGATGCATTGTGGTCTAGGCATGCAGAGTTTAATGCGGAAAATTTATTGTAATGTTATGAGCATTTCCATTTATAATACAGTAGAAAATTTTAATTTGGTCTTCAGTTCTAATATCAGTTCTTCAAAGCGATTTCAAGGCGGTATCAGATAATCAATGGGCTGAATTAAGATTATTATGATTCCTATAACTAATGTTAATCTTTAATTGATATGATTATTGATATGAAGCAATAATTATGATAATTTTTTTCTTTGAAAGAACTTTAGAATTGTGTGAAAACTTTGACAGCTTTTTCAAATGTTGTTTGTGATGTTACTCTGAGTATATATATCCACACCGGGCAAGCTTGAAAAATATGCCTGGCCACGATGGGAATCGAACCTACGACCTTTGGAATACTAAATGTTGTTTTCTCGAAATATTTTGAGCAAATAATTATAATGAATCATTGCAATGGTCCTGAGATTAACCAAAATTATACTTCGGTCAGCATTTCAAATAAAAAATTGAGTGTCAACATTTTTGGCATCTAAATCATTATTTGATCGCCTATATACAAGAATTGTTTTTAGGGCTAATCCAACTTTTGACGTCACCAAAACTACCGTTAAAATTAATGAGATCAAAAGCTAATCTAAGATGGGGAACAGCCCATTTCTACCAAATGAGGAAAACCTAATGACTTTCGGTTTAATTTTCAACACAATTCTTTGTTTGCAATGACGTAATTTGGGGATTTCAGTTGACGGGCAGGTTTAACAAAAACCGGCTATTTTTAATGTATTGATCGAGTTTAGAGACAGTTTAAGACTCAAAAGATGAATTACCGTTCAGTTTTTCTTGCTACAACTATTCTGATAGGAGAAAAAATGAAAAATCGTCCACAAGTTGTTTGATTCCCCGTCATTGGATGAATAGTCACGTGATTACAAACAAAGAATTGGTACTCCATCCACTTTTATTTCCAGATCAGTGATAGAAAGTCGGTTCCTCCCCCATTTACAGTAGACAGATTTAGAAAAGACGACGCGACCTCAAAGACGACGTGAAAATGGCGTCAAAATGGCGTGGCACATCCATATATGGACAGAACACGCCATTTTCACGTCGTCTTTGAGGTCGCGTCGTCTTTTCTAAATCTGTCTACTACTACTCTCTACACGACGTCAATGTATGATTATTTCCACCACCTATATTAGGGAATGCAACAACAGAGGCACGGTGTTTGATGTCTTCAACGAATTCTACGCTGGAGTGTTTTACCGTGTCTATACAGTGTGGAAAAATCAGAGAAAAACTATATCCGACTCCGGATTTGTGTTGCGAGAAGTTGAAAAATATTGTAAAAATCACACGAATGAGGTACTAAGAGACTTCTCCAAGGCTGTGCTGGAGAAAAAACCCGCAGTTAAACACGAAGAGAGTTCTACGTTTTCACGCAGTTGTTCAGAAAAAGTCGAGAGTTTCTCTGGAGTGTGCGACATTCAGGAAAATGAGGAAGAAGAGGTGCATTTGGTGTGAAGATTAATCTGTGAATGAAATTCTGTTGCGTTATCTCGTTTTCAAAATGCGCCTTTTTACCCACGAACTGTCTAAGCCTAAGGTCCTGTTTACTGAGGCTCCCGTCTACACACTGGCAATTTGGAACTGTATTTTAAATTTGCACTATTCGCTGGGACGCGCGGAACGCACGGGTGAAACCGAACTTATTCGAACACACGTAACGAACTCCCGTGCGAGCAAATGGAACCAGACAATTTGTGTACGGTTCCGAATTACATCCACAAAATTGTGGAAATCGAGATGAAATTAAAGTGGGACGATTTCATGTCAGTCGAAGTGTTGTGTCAAATGAGCTGTTTACATGAGACGAGTTCGAAATTGGAAAAATAACTGGTCTAGTCTAGATTGAATCTCAGTGGTTTGAATCTAGACTAGAATGAATAGATTAGATCGAATGGATGTTTTCTGGTCGGTCTGATAAAACACAACTGCAGAAAAGATTAACAATATTGATGTATTGCATTTTCGAAATAGGTTTCATGTAAACATTTTCGTTGCGTTCTTACTTCCCACTATATCCTCTAATTAATTGGTATGCGTAGGCGAGTCCCTGGCGGGCCACATGAATGCTACGTAAGTATATACGTAGGAGATTAACTTCGCCCCGTTCTCGTGTATAAAACAGGACCTAACTCTGCCGAATCTGTGAGAGGTCTTGGTATGAAATACATAGCTAGTATAAATATCTAAATTATTGAGTGTAAATAATATATAACACTTAAAATATTATTTATGAATATAAAAATTAGTGTGAAATTGATCAATGATAAAATACGAAACTAAACCTCGAGACTATGGTGTTTGTAGACTTTCTAATGAGGTATTTGCAAGCCATGAAAAACAAAAAAAATGACTGGGGCCCATGGCCATGAAGTACGAAAACACTTGTGTTGATTTCACTAGAATGGATCGTGAGCGCATTGACCAGTATTAATGGTTTCTCAAATTCAGAGATGGGGTGCATGGGCTCATAATAACTGGCTGAATTGTACACACCTCGAACGTTTAGAGGCTTTGTCCTTCTCATAATAGCATGTTTGGGACAGTACCTTCATCATTTAAAAAAATCCAGGGTTTTCCAGGACTTTTTTCATCCTTTTCCCAGGGGCATTTGAAATACGTTCGCGACGGCTAGTACTTCATCTTGCACAGATATTTTTTGGGTTTGTACCAGTTTGACCGAGCCGTCGCGTGATATGCCTAAGAAATGCTGCGACTACATATAATGCAAGAAACTTCTGTTCAATCTTTTTTAAGATAGTGTTAGATAGTTTAGGTATCATCCTATACCCAGCTCAGTTTTCCAGGGATAAATTTGAAATTCCAGGGGGGGTTTTCAAGGGTTTTTCAGGAATAAAATAAAAATCCAGGTTAACGAAAATTTCTTAGCAATTTTCCCAACAGCCTGTTTAGAAACATGAAGATAGTTTTCCACAATTCATATCTGGATCAATAGAAGTTCTATTTTCGATAGTTTTGAAATAAACAGAAGTGCAATTGTACCCAAACCAAAACAGCGTGTTAAATTTTAACCCTGGGTTAGCGCTAATCCACCTTTAAACATGCAAGCGGTCCCAGGGGGGACTCATTTTGGGCAGATAATAGATAACTTAAGATCTACGACGTCGACGTTAGCTAGGACGTCAGGGCTAAGCAGAGGACTGGGATTACATTAGGACATCCTAGTCCCAGTCCTCTGCATAGCCCTGACGTCCTAGCTAACGTCGACGTCGTAGATCTTAAGCTATCTATTAACAGACTTGAGAGTAAATTAAAATAACTTGCCAAAAAATGGACAGCCCGTATCCAGCGATAGGTCCGTGAGTCAACTTTCGGCTTCGGTGGTTAACACCAACTTCGGCCTTAATAATTTCTCATATCCTACTCGACTTCATTCAATAATTGTTTAATGTTCGCAGGTGCAGTCCGGGAATAAACTTATGTGGAAGTTATTCCGCCGTTTACTCCCGGTGTGGAGGTATTACCCCCTTTTACTCTCCCTTCCTTTCCTTTTTTGCTGGGGGAAAACTAACCCTCCTCTTTATGAAGAGAGGTGCATCACCTCGGTCTTCCCACGATTCACTGACTAAACCCTACACTATTTTTAACCAGATGTATGTGAACGATTAAAGACACATAATAGTTTAATATGCATACTGCATTTTAAATTTCGTTATTAACTGATGAGTGGCTATATAAGTATAATTTTAGTGTTAATTTTGCAAAGAAATGCGGACTAAAATGGTTTGTAAGCACAGCACGCAACAACCTATCCACACGCTGTAACCCATGCAGTTAAATCTTTGTATCCAGTAACTTATTGGGATTGTATATAGGGTCAATTGTTAGCCGTTGTAATCGATAATCTCATTGGCTTACAAGTATACGTATATGCTTACAATTACAGCGTGCGGATTGGCTGATTAGCTGCAAGAAGCTTTAATCCATTATAGAGATATATTATAGCCACCTACATGGCAAAAAACGCCGAGCCCGCTGCTTAACAGGATTGAACGTTTTGCTGCCCACATTGTTCACACTTGTCAACAATATTGAAAAATATTGTTGAGCCTGAATCGGGTGTAACAACATTGTTCAGTATTGTTGACAACTGTGAACAATGTGGGCAGCAAAGCATTGTTCAATCCTGTTTTCATCAGTATTGCATCAATCTGAGCGTTTTTACGCGTGTACGTGAGTTATAGTTTTTATTACACATCGTTCAGCGGAGTACAGGAAAAATTAAACTTATTCTTCGTCTTCAACCATGTAGGAAGGGTAGCTCATGGTGTATAAGTGGCAAAAATTTGGAAACCTTTAAAACAGCTACCAATCCTGAATGGTCAAGCTAAGACTAAAGACTAAGACGAGGTCAAGCTAAGACTAAAGAATAGTCAAGCTAAGACTAAAGACTAAGACGAGGTCAAGCTAAGACTAAAGAATGGTCAAGCTACGACTTAAGACTAAGACAAGGTTGGTGTTATCCACCAAGCTCAGACTAAAGCGATATTTCATCAGTTTACACTACTTGTATAATATAACACTAAAATTATGAACCATGTTTCTATTTTTGTTCTTAAGGACAGAGCTTATTTAGAAAATTAACTTCAAATGGGATAACCCGGAAAATAAGCATTTCCCAGGGAGGTGTATTCGCGACGATGTTGGCCAAGGAATCTTTCATTCCAGATCAGGCATACCTGAAATTGAAAAACATGTTAATTACAGACGTAGTTCATTAGAATGAGACGCAAACATTTGAAAACTTGTAGGTAAGTGGGTCGAACGACAAATTTGGGATGAAAATCAAACACATTTGCATACTTGATAATTGTCGCACGAAATATTGCAATCTTTTTGAAAATGGATATCCCTTTACATTAAAATTTTCAAAACATCCTGTGTGGATTATGACGGTCGACAATCGGCTATTTGCCGAACAAAAACACTAAATGGCCGATTAATTTTATTATGTACGGACATGTTGACCGATCAGATAAATTAAGTACTGTTCAAAAAGCATGCAAGAAAAAGAACACAAACATTTTCTTCGCTTCGCTGTGACGGGCATTCGGTAAACAAAAGTTTATGGTACCAAGTTTAGGTACCGGTCATAAAGTAACTGCTAGGATGGGCTGGAGGGAATAAGGATGGGCCAAGAAATTATTTTCATCAGTTTGGGTGGGGCATCAATTTGTTGTTTTGTACAAATGTATGGGCCATGAAACACTTATAGCCTGTTTGCACTCAATACATACTATAACTACAACACAAGTTATGAGAAAGTGACTCAGTGCATGGTTTGATCAAAGTGACTGCTATACTGTACATATTCATGTATAGCAGGATGGGTCGTGAAATTTTTCCAATGACCTACGATGGGCTTTGAAATTTTTTCTAGGTTCTCAGGAATCAGGATGGGCCACCGTTTTTTTTTTGGAAAACCTATTTTTCCCTCCAGCCCACCCTAGCAGTTACTTTATGACCGGTCCCTTATGTACCAGACATGCAGAAGATTCGAAACAATAGCCAATAAGGACCAAGAACTTTTCTTCGACTATTTCGCAAAGGTTTTGAGTATGACTGGTCATGTAGGAAGTGGTCAGAACGACAGATCAAAGTAAATATTGAATCCGAGCCGACTTGCACACTTGAGTGGACATTTGTCAGACCACGGTTTCTATTAACCGTGGTCAGACCCAAGCAAAATTGTTATAATTCACATCACTGAAAACATCACTTTGCTATTTCTGAAATTTTATTTTATGTTATACTTGCCTTCATCATCACTGTCATCCGAGTCTGCTTCATTACCATCATCAACGGCACCATCCTGTGAAGAAATCGTAATATGAACTGAGTGCTTCAATAAAGTTTCATGCGAGGTTTTAAGTGCATTATTATGTAATATTGTTCTTTATGGTAGTATTGAAAAATTCTTCTTTAACGAATTTATTCCGGCTAGTAAATAATCATGCACTAATGGATGATATTCTCTTAAGTAAATGGAGTGTAATCTGCATCATAACTCGTATCTTAATTATAAATTCAGAAATTTTTGAATGGTTGGTATATGAACTGTTTACTATTGTTGCTGAAAAAACCCAGAGGTTCTGACTTTCAGGAGACTTAGTATTACTCATATAATTTGATTAATTTAATCTTTTACCATTCCAATATCTCCCATTTGTCTCATCATCTGAAGTGGAAAAGAAAAACGTTAAGTTATGACCCAGGTAAGCCATAGGCATTGGGCAATCCTGGATATAACTGTTAATAAAATAGACTGAATTATCTTACGCACATTTTAAACGCAATGGATGTCCCCAATCCCCAATTAACCAAAATTTTGAACTCAACAAGTCTAGACAAAAATTTCATCACAGCTTGAAAGAGCATCACAAAATTAGTAATATTCCAAAGTTTCGTTTTAAAATGTTGTAAAATGCGGATAATAATTAGGAACCTTTAGGAATGAACTTCTGAAATCTCTTTGTATATCCTTGTAAATATGTATAGCATCATGTATCCTATAGTCTCATAATTTTTCTGGTATATCATATATATCCATATATACCAATATGTAAACACTGCACGCACACTATATATATTTTCTATACTTTGTATTTTAATGTTTTGCAGGAACCATCTGAAAAACACTTCTTGTGATGTTGGTTTCCTGAATAAATATGATTATCATTCATTCATTCATAATATAGCCTTGCGAAGTTTGTAATTTTCAGTCATTTTAGATTACAAACGAGAAATGGTTACCACTTCCGTGCGTAATACAAAATGACTGAAAATTACAAACTCCGCAAGGCTATATTATCCGCATTATACAACATTTTAGAACGAAACTTTGGAATATTACTAATTTTGTGATGCTCTTTCAAGCTGTGATGATATTTTTGTCTAGACTTGTTGAGTTCAAAATTTTGGTTAATTGGGGATTGGTCCATTCGACAACATTAGAGAGGTTAAGATACCCCGGTTTCGGTGTACGGGTACGAGTAGCATGATTTTGTTTAGCAATATTTTCGTCGATGTCTGTACCTTTACTCGTAACTAAGGTGCACATTTTTCGCATTATATCATTGTCTATTGCAAGAAAACAGAAAAAGTATGATCGAATTACAGACATCAGTAAACAAGATCGTATCCGTACACCGAAACCGGGGTATCTTAACCTCTCTAATTTATGGGGGAACCCGAGGAAGGGCCGAAGGGGGGATATTTTAGGCAAGTTTATTGGACCATTTGCATTATAGACTAAACTTTGATCTAAACAAGTCTAGACAAAAATTTCATCACAGCTTGAAAGAGCATCACAAAATTAGTAATATTCCAAAGTTTCGTTGCGAAATGTTGTAAAATGCGGATAATATAGCCGCAAAATGACTGAAAAACGGCAAACTTCGCAAGGCTATATTATCCGCATTTTACAACATTTCGCAACGAAACTTTGGAATATTTAATACTAATTTTGTGATGCTCTTTCAAGCTGTGATGAAATTTTTGTCTAGACTTGTTTAGATCAAAATTTAGTCTATAATGCAAATGGTCCATTAAACAATAAACACCTGAATTGTTTTAACAGTTACACGGCTTCAATAGTTCTAGGGGGGGGGGGGGGCCACAGGATCAGAACACTGTAATTTTAGTTTAATTCATAGTTTCCAGATATTGAGTGTTTCCACACACACTTGAAATATTTAAATATTAAAAAATGAATATATTTGGAGTTTCCATTATGTTGCATAATTTTAGTATTGTAGCCTACAATCATAGCATGTACATACATCTTCAAAGTTGCTGTTTGGTTGTTCATCATCGTCAGAATCATCTTCATCTTTCCACTTGTCAAAATCTGTTTTTATGTGTGCTATCTTCATTTAAAGATAAAATAATATTTAATCAAAACAGATTTCATCATGGGGAACACAAATGCTTAAAGAGGATATAAAATGAAATGTAAAATAATTTTCTAAACATTAAACAAACCACCTACCTTATCTTTAGTTTCTAGAAGCCTTTTCCAAAATGTAGTACTTGCATCTTTCTTTTTTAGTACAAATGTTAGTTCTCTGGTTGTTATGTGCTGCTTCGATTCCTAAAAGTTTCATGATTATTAAAAAGTTACTTCTAAATTGCTCATTACAGTATGTGGGAAACAAATCGAAATGTCAACGTCTTCCTGGGAATAACCCCGGAATTTGGATTTTTTTCACTCTGAAAAAGTCAAATTGATCCTTATATATAATTTTAATTTGTCCTGGAAAATTGGAGTTGAAACAAAATAATTGGACATGAAAGAAAATAATTTAATCGTTTTCGAGCTTCTGTGAAGCATGCATTTGAAACCGGCAGGTACAAAACGCTGGCTGGAATTTCGCAGGTTGGGAATTTTGCAGGTTGCCAGGAACTTTGCAGGTTGATCATGCAAATTTAAAATTACACCACTATAAAGTATTTTAGTAATTTAATTGTGTACTTATTGCAGTCTGACCCTTTGTCCGTGCTTTTGATATCAGCCTATCCTGCTACCATGTTCCTAGCCTCTGCTCTTAGGAGTGGTCATCGCCCCCTTTCTATAGGAAATAGAAGTGTACTTTGCAGGTTCAATTCTTTTGCAGGTTCAATTGCAGGTTCGCCGCCACGTCATGTAGGACCTCGCAACGAGACACTCGTCACCCTGTAGGTCCAAGCCAATTTGGTCATTTTGAATGTTTTCACGGGGGTGATGGCCACTCCTTAGAGCAGAAGCTAGGAACATGACAGCAGGATAGGCTGATATCAAAAGCGCGGACAAGGAGTCAGACTGCAATAAGTACACAATTAAATTACTAGAATAGTTTATAACAGTAGCGATTGATACACCGGGTGGAAAGCGTAAATTAAAAATGAAAATTAAAGCCCAGCAAATGACTTTCAGACAAGACATAACAAAATATAAAATTTATTAATTAATAAGCTAACGTTTCGTTGTATTGTTTACAACATCTTCAGAGCAATTAAACTTATTTACAAGCGTGTATTACATATATACAAATAGTTACAAACGGTTACAGTATTCAAATAAGCGAATAAGAGGAAGGATGAAAAACAACCTGTCATTAAAAGCAATAGTATTAGTAAATTAAAGAAATAATGGTTAGTAATTAGAAACCTAGCAAAGCATTAGAAAAGGTCAAGAGGAGTTGA